GGCAACATCCCCTCCCCGACCCATGCTGCCATCAGCCTTTCCACCTTTGTCTGAGGAGATAAACCCTGTGCTACCAGAGGCAACAGTCATGGCCTCCCCTGAAGCAGTTGCCAGGCAAGATAATGTTGATTCTCCTCGGGAGGCACCCCCAACGCCTCTGTTTGCTTCTAGACCTACAGCTAGACTAAAACCCCAGTGGGCCCCTAGAGGCGAGGTTGAGAGTGTGACCCATGAGGAGGTATGCTACACTCTAAAAGAACTGTTTGCGTTCTCTAATTTATATCAGCAGAAATCTGGAGAACAGGCAGGGGAATGGATATTAAGAGTGTGGGATAATGGTGGAAGAAACATAGTGTTGGATCAGGCTGAATTTATTGATTTGGACCCACCAAGTAGGGACTCTGCATTTAATGTTGCAGCTCTGGGAGTTAAAAAAGGTTCTAATAGTTTATTTGCTTGGTTAGCTGAAATATGGATTAAAAGATGGCCCACTGTGAGCAAGCTGGAAATGCCTGCTCTCCCTTGGTTTAATGTAGAGGAAGGGATCCAAAGGTTCAGGGAGACTGGGATGGTGGAGGGGATTAGTCACTTTAGACCTACTCATTCCAGCTGGGAGAGTCCAGAAGATACATCCTTGACCAATGCATTATGAAACAGATTTGTGAGGGCAGCACTTGCATCTTTGAAGAGCCCTATAATTGCTGTTTTATGCATGTCAGATCTAATGGTGGGAACTGCAGTCACTCAACTACAATATTTACATACAATGGGAATAATTGGATCCCGAGGTGGCAGGGTCCAAGTGGTGGCACTCAACCATCAAAGGCAAAGTGGGTGTAGCTACTGTAACGGACATCAGAGGCAAAACAGCAATCAGAATAGTCTGACTCGTGTAGACCTCTGTCATTGGCTAATTAATCCTGGTATTCCTAGAAGTGAAATTGGTAGGAAGCCTACTGCATTCCTACTTAATTTATAAAGCAGAAAACTTCCAAGTCAAATGGACAAAAGACTAATTTGAATTATAAAAACAGAGAATCACAGCCTCTCAGTCAATTTCCAGACTTAAGCCAGTTTACAGATGCAGAATCCCTTGAATGAAGGGGAGGCTGGGTCCTCTTGAAGAAGGACCCCACTACATTACCGACAATTTATGCAGTGAACCTTTCTTCCATCCTTCTCCAAGGAGACCTCTGGCCTTTTACCAGGGTGACTGTGCATTGGGAAAAGGGAAGTGATTAGACATTTCAAGGACTACTGGACACTGGCTCTGAGCTGATGTTGATTCCAGGGGACCCAAAATGTTACTGTGGTCCTCCAGTTAAAGTAGGGGCTTATAGAGGTCAGGTAATTAATGGAGGTTTAGCTCAGGTCTGACTTACAGAGGGTCCAGAGGGTTCCCAGACTCATCCTGTGGTCATTTCCCCAGTGCCAGAATGCATAATTGGCATAGATATACTTAGCAGCTGGAAGAACCCCCACATTGGCTCCCTGACTGGTAGGGTGAGGGCTATTGTGGTGGGAAAGGCCAAATGGAAGCCATTAGAGCTGCCTCTATCTAGAAAAATAGTAAATCAAAACCAATATCATATCTCTGGAGGGATTGTGGAGATAGTGCCACCATCAAGGACTTGAAAGATGCAGGGGTGATGATTCCCACCACATCCCCATTCAACTCTCCCATTTGGCCTGTGCAGAAGACAGATGGATCTTGGAGGATGACAATGGATTATCATTAGCTTAGCCAAGCGGTGACTCCAACTGCAGCTGCCTGTACCAGATGTGGTTTCATTGCTTGAGCAAATTCACACATCTCCTGGTATCTGGTATGCAGCCATTGACAAGGCAAATGCCCTTTTTTCCATTCCTGTCCATAAGGTCCACTAGAAGCAATTTGCCTTCAGCTGGCAAGGCCAGCAATATACCTTTACTGTCATACCTCAGGGGTATATCAACTCTCCAGCTTTGTGTCATAATCTTATTCAGAAAGACCTTGATAGCTTTTCACTTCTGCAAGATATCACACTAGTTCATTACATTGATGACCTTAAGCTGACTGGATCCAGTGAGCAAAAAGTAGCAAACACACTGGACTTATTGATAAGACATTTGCATGTCAGAGGATGGGAAATATATCTGACTAAAATTCAGGGAACTTCTACCTCAGTAAAATTTCTAGGGGTACAGTGGTGTGGGGCCTGTCAAGATATTCCTTCTAAGGTGAAGGATACGTTGCTGCACTTGGCCCCTTCTACAACCAAGAAAGAGGCACAAGTCTAGCAGGCCTATTTGGATTTTGGAAGCAACATATTCCTCATTTGGTGTGTTGCTGTGGCCTATTTATTGAGTGACCTGAAAGGCTGCCAGTTTTGAGTGGGGTCCAGAACAGGAGAAGGCTCTGCAACAGGTCCAGGCTGCAGTGCAAGCTGCTCTGCCACTTGGGCCATATGACCCAGCAGATCCAATGGTGCTTGAGGTGTCAGTGGCAGACAGGGATGTTTTTGGAGCCTTTGGCAGGTTGCCATAGATGAATCACAGCAGAGGCCTCTAGGATTTTGGAGCAAGGCCCTGCCATCTTCTGCAGATAACTACTCTCCTTTTGAGAGACAGCTGTTGGTCTGTTACTGGGCTTTGGTGGAAACTGAATGTTTGATTATGGGTCACCACGTCACCATGTGACCTGAACTGCCTATCATGAACTGGGTGCTTTCTGGTCCATCTAGCCATAAAGTGGGTGGTGCACACACAGCAGCATTCCATCATCAAATGGAAGTGGTATATACGTGATCGGGCTCGAGCAGGTCCTGAAGGCACAAGTAAGTTACATGAGGAAGTGGCTCAAATGCCCATGGCCTCCACTCCTGCCACCGTGCCTTCTCTCCCCTACCCTGCACTGATGGACTCATGGGGAGTTCCCTATGATCAGTTGACAGAGGAAGAGAAGACTAGGGCCTGGTTCACAGATGATTCTGCACGATATGCAGGCACCACCTGAAAGTGGACAGCTGCAGCACTACAGCCCCTTTCTAGGACATCCCTGAAGGACAGCAGTGAAGGGAAATCTTCCCAGTGGGCAGAACTTCAAGCAGTGCACCTGGCTGTTCACTTTGCATGGAAGGAGAAATGGCCAGATATGTGATTATATAGTGATTTACGGGCTGTAGCCAATGGTTTGGCTGGATGGTCAGGGACTTTGAAGAAGCACGATTGGAAAATTGGTGACAAAGAAATTTGGGGAAGAGGTATGTGGATGGATCTCTGTAAGGGGTCAGAAACCATGAAGATATTTGTATACTATGTGAGTGCTCACCAACAGGTGACCTCAGCAGAGGAGGATTTTAATAATCCTGGATAGGATTATTATCCAGGATCCATCCAGGATGAATAGGATGACTCATTCTGTGGACACCACTCAGCCTCTTTTCCCAGCCACCCAATGGGTCCATGAACAAAGTGGCCATGGTGGCAGGGATGGGGGTTACACATGGACTCAGCAACATGGACTTCCACTCACCAACACTGCCCTGGCTATGGCCACTGCTGAGTGCCCAATTTGCCAACAACAGAAACCAACACTGAGCCCTCAATATGCTACCAGGAGACACAACAATTCCATTAAACTGAAAGTTAAGATTGCCACCTAGACACTTTGGGCTCCTCCTACCTTTAAATCAACAGGCTAAGAAGGGAGTTATAGCGTTGGCTGGGGTGATTGACCCGGACTATCAAGATGAAATCAGTCTGCTACTCCACAATGGAGGTAAGGAAGAATACGCATGGAATACAGGAGATCCATTAGGGCATCTCTTAGTATTAAGAGATCCTGTGATTAAGGTCGATGGGAAACTACAACAGCTTAATCCAGGCAGGACTACAAATGGCCCAGACCCCTCAGGAATGAAAGTTTGGTCACTCTACCAGGAAAAACACCATGACCTGCTGAGGTGCTTGCTGAAGGCAGAGGGAATACAGAATGGATAGCAGAAGAAAGTGGTCATCAATACCAGCTACGACCACGTGACCAGCTGCAGAAGCAGGGACTGTAATGGTCATGAGTATTTCCTCCCTCTTTTGCTAAAAATATGTTTGTGCATGTATGCACTTGTGCTAAGGAAAATATTTTATTTCTTTTTCCTTTATCATATGACATAGGATTTAGCGACCTCACATCAGCATTTAAGTATTGTTAACTTTATGTGATAGTATTTGGGTTGGGGATTGGTGCGTTTCCGGTTGTATGAGGGATAGTTGTATTATGTTAGGTGTAATTACGACCTTATTATTGTCTTTATTTGAAGATTATGTATGATCTCAGGAGATGCGTATGGGCTCAAGTTGACAAGGGGTGGACTTGTGATGATTAATACTGAGTGTCAACTTGACTGGATTGAAGGATACAAAGTATTGATCCTGGGTGTGTCTGTGAAGGTGTTGCCAAAACAGATTAACATTTGTGTCAGTGGGCTGGGCAAGGCAGAGCCACCCTTAATCTGGTGGACACAATCTAATCCGCTGCCAGTGAATATAAAGAAGGCAGAAAAACATGAAAAGGAGAGACTGGCCTAGCCTCCCAGCCTACATCTTTCTCCCGTGCTGGATGCTTCCTGCCCTGGAACACTGGACTCCAAGTTCTTCAGTTTTGGGACTCAGATTGGCTCTCCTTGCTCCTCAGCTTGCAGATGGCCTATTGTGGGACCTTGTGAGCATGTAAGTTAATATTTAATAAACTCCCCTTTATATATATATATAAAAAATATATCCTATTAGTTCTGTCCCTCTAGAGAACCCTGACTAATGCAGCATAGCTTCCTCATCCCCTGACACATCTCCCTGCAGGAGAGCTCCTCCTCCAGTGGGGCTCTTGCCCCACCTCCCACATGTTCCACCTTCCTCTCCAGCCCTGAGTTTCTTGAACAGCAGAGGGAGATGGGTGGGTACACACACAGGCCCCTGGGCTCGCAGCCCAGCTCAGGCCTGCATGAGCTCTCAGAGGTACCTACCTGAGAGGAGAGTCCATTGGTGAACCCATTGGCATTCCTCCTCACCACTGCTGATGGGGTCACCTCATCATCAGTGGGCGATTTTGTCCGAGGGGGCACAACACCAACTGCAGAAAGACAGAGTAGCCAGTGGGCCTCATGGAGAGCAGGAAGGCAGGAAGCCAACTTCTCAGAGACAGGCTCAGCCCCGCTCTCCACCGAGATTAAAAAGCTCAGGGTGTGGCACCGGGCTTTGGGTGTGAATGAGCACCAAGGGCTCCTCCTTGAGCATCCTTGCCTTACTTCTAGGGGAAGATGGGTCACAAAGTACCTTTGTTGAGAGCTGCCTGCTTCTCTGCCTCTACCTCTTGTCTGGTGGGCACAAGGCTGATGTCTCTGGGGGTGTCCAGGGATGATGTCTGGTGGGGATCTTTCTTGCTTTGTTCGTAGCTTGCCTTGGGCTGGAGAGAAAGGGCGAGAAGATGACTGATGTTAGTATGGCTGTCAGGAACTTGGCCCCCAGTGATGTTTCTTTGTTTTGCAATGGTTGAAGCTCAAACCCTTGCAGATACAGGGAACAAGGAAATTCTATGTGTGCCACCTGGGAGGCGGACAGGGATGCACTGGAGCCTCCCATCCATGCACTTTAAGGAGGGGCAATGATGGGCCATCTTGGGGAATGAGAGCTCATAGCCCCTAGGAGGCCCCTCAACCTGACCATTTGTTTTGGCTGACACTAAGAACCATAGACTTGCTGTGAGCCAGAGTCAAGGAATGGCTAGTGGGGGGTCTCTGAGGATCCTGTAGGGAATCCTACCCAAGACATGAGCAAACAGAACCAGGCAGGCCTTGGTACCAGGATTCTAGGGAAATGAAAAGGGCACTTAGTGTGTGGGCTCACAAAATCATGAGACTAGAAGAGACCTCAGCCATCATCTGAGCCACTGCTCCCATGGTACAGTTGAAGAATCTAAGCCTCAGCGAGAAGAATACAGAAAGAAGACCAGGCTAAAGGTCAGCAACTCCAGTTCTAGCCCAACTAGAGAGCAGAGGTCCCCTTTCTTCGTCTGTCACATACGGGTAACATTACCTGCTCCGCCCATCTCACCAGGCAAACCCTCAAGGGTTATGCAAATTATACACAGCTAAACCTAGATGAGCATATGAGTTTTCCAATTTTAGGCACAGGACTCTTTCTACTCACCACACAACCTCTTCCAAACCTAACTGCATAGCTCCTGGATCTTGGCTAGGGATGCAGGTGAGACAACAGGCCAGAACAGGAGAGAAAAGGGCCTGTATCCTTATACTCCAGGAACTCATGAAACCCAGTGAGGACACAATACAAGGTGGAGGCAGAGAGATCGCATGGGCGGAGTGGGGCCTGGGATGGACACACGAAGGTGGACACACGAAGGGATCAGAATGGCACTGCTGGGAGTGTCAGTCAGTTCCCATTGGCTGGTCATATTGGTAGGGAGTGGGGCATAATACCAGCACCCACAAACACTGGCTTCCCATGAGCCTGGGGTTGGAGCAGTAACTCACGTCCCCATCACCTACAGAAAGCAAAAAGGCACAGAAAGATGGCCTGTGTGATGGCTTCAACTATCCTTTCCTTATCCCAGAGTCCAGCTGAGCAGGGGCGCTGTAGAAACCGAACTTTGGGAAAATTAATGGGGAAAATGACTCCAGTGCCCTGCCTTGCCCCCTGGCCTGGCCTTCTCCCCATTGTCCCCTGCCCCACCCTCCAGGACCCAAGGGTGATGGGTACCTGCCCCCTGGCTGTCTCGCCACTGCGGTGCCAGGAAGGGGAGCTGGGGTAGGGCCAGAAGCGGCTCTCGCTAGGGAGTGGAGGGACGGCTGGAGGAGACTCCAGGGGGACGTAGGCTTTGGGGAGGGGAGGCCGAGGCGGGCCAGGTTCCTGAGGCAGACAGAAGCCAGAGCATTAGAAGGAACAAGAGCAGCCACTGTGAGAGCAGGAGAAAAGAGCATTAGCAGGAGGCAGACAACAACATTGCTGGAGACCTGGGCGGGCCCCTGGGACCACTGCACTCCCACCCGTGGCCTGAAGAGAGTGCCAGCTCCGGAGCTAACTCTCTGCCTGACCTTCAAGGCCTTCCTCCACCCAGCCTCTACCTGTCCACCACTCCCCACTGCTCCCCAAGTTTTCCCCAAAGCTCTCTCATTGCCTTGCCCCCATGCCAGGCAGCTCCTCTCCCACCCCTTTGCTTCCACCCACTCTCCTGCCTACAATGCCTTTCCCTTGTTCCTCTCCCTGTCTTGCTGCTCTGTGGCCTGGTTTAGGCCCAATTCTCTGTTGGAACATCAGGGCTTTTATAGTCTGAACCATGTGGCTTAATGTTAAGACATACGCCGTCACGTTCCTATGAATTTGTCTTGGTTCATAGGATGCTGGGCTCCCTGAGTGAAGCCTTTGAGCACATGTGCGTATCTTTCTTTTCTTTTTCTTTTCTTTTTATTTATTATTATTATTATTATTTTGAGACGGAGTCTGGCTCTGTCACCCAGGCTGAAGTGCAGTGGCGCGATCTCCGCTCACTGCAAGCTCCGCCTCCCAGGTTCATGCCATTCTCCTGCCTCAGCCTCCTAAGTAGCTGGGACTACAGGTGCCCACCACACCCGGCTAATTTTTTGTATTTTTTAGCAGAGACGGGGTTTCACCGTGTTAGCCAGGATGGTCTTGATTTCCTGATCTCGTGATCTGCCTGCCTTGGCCTCTCAAAGTGCTGGGATTACAGGCATGAGCCACCATACCCAGCCTCTTTCTTTTATTTTTTATTATTCTTTTTTGAGACAGAGTCTCACTCTGTCACCAGGCTGAAGTGCAGTGGTGTGATCTTGGCTCACTGAAACCTCCACCTCCTGGGTTCAAGCAATTCTCCTGCCTCAGCCTCCTGAGTAGCTGGGACTACAGGCGTGCGCCACCACGCTCAGCTAATTTTTGTATTTTTTGTATTTTTTTTTTTTTCAGTAGAGATAGGGTTTCACCATGTTGGCCAGGATGGTCTCTATCTGCTGACCTCATGATCCACCCGCCTTGACCTCTCAAAATGCTGGGATTACAGGCATGAGCCACCACGCCCGGCCATGTATGTATCTTTCTAAAAGGGCCTCATGGCACCCCATGCCCACGGTTGAGCCCCAGAAAACTTGCTGATTGACTGACTAGGAAACTGCTCCCCACACTGACCCTTCACCCTGTTGCTATCCTGGCATCATTCTGGATTTAAATTCTTATGAAATGCGTGCTGTCTCCTATCCAACCTCATGCTGTCTCCTATCCATCTTGGTGCCCAGGAACAGGCTTCACTGAAAGGGAGCTAAAGATGACAGATGGAGATGAGAACAGGTAAAGGGGAAACCTGGAGAGAAGTTCACAAAATGGGGTGTGAGAATGACCTCCTTAAACGAAGAGCTCCAGCACTAGGGCTGGAGGCCTGTGGGGAAGAGATGGGCACAGAAGTTGTATAATTTCAGACAAATGAGGATCTGGTCCTCCCTCCCCCACCTACCTTCTACTGCATTTCTCAACTTACCTCGTTGGAGCCAGGCTTGGTGGGGGACCCCTGAGAGCCCGACACCAGTGAAAAGGGGCTCAGGGGGCTGGTGAGGCTGGCGGAGCTGAGGGGGCTGGCCGGGCTGTTGGAGCTGTAGGTGGCTGAGGGGCCAAGTCCTCCTTGGGGGAAACAGAAGGGGATGGGTGAGCAATGGAGGAGGGGTGCAGCCTGGTGTGTAGATAGATGGGCACTGTGAGTGGAGGTGGTGGGGAGAAGCCAGATCCAGGGATGTGCGAGGGCAGCCTTAGTGTCTCAGGGCCACCTGGGCCTGCCAAAGGGACTCATTACAGGTTCTGGGGCCACAGGCTGACTGTTGAGAGGTGTGCTGGGTGGGGAAGATGGTAGATGGAAATGATACTGTTGTCTCTGAGGTGTCAAGGAAAGCCAGTCTGAGGTCCCAGGGCTCAAGGAAAACTCTAAGGTAGGGGTCACAGGTCACGAGTGGGCCCATGTGCTTGGGGGTTGGGGAGGCTTAGGTGCTTTTGACCTTTTCTGGGGAGGACGTTAGAGTGTCAGGGTCAACAATGTCTCTGAGTTGTCTACTTAGTCTTCTGTCAGGGGTAAGGGAGCCCTACCTACCACCCTAGAACCCAGGGGAAGATTCTGACGTCCCAAGAAGGCCCTGCCTGGCCCTGAACACAGTGTGAGCTGGCAGGAGTGGGATGGAGGCCAGAAATACCGGAGCACTCCTGGTGAGGCAGGCAGCCTAGGAGGCTGGCACAGGAGGCACCCACCTCTGTGCTTGGCAGTGTCCGTGCCCCGGGAGGGGTTATTCTTCCTCAGCCCCTCCATCACGTCCTGGATCCTCCAGATCTCCTTTTGGATTTGCCGGTTCAGCACCTCATTCTGAAGCAGTCACACAGTGAATCAAAAGAAATGGCCACAAGGAGTTCCCCTCAGCCCAGACCCCTCGGAACCCACATCCCTTTGGGCCAGCAGGAGGCAGGCACCCTGTACACACACACACACACACACACACATACACACACACACACACACGCCCCTCCAGCAGTCATCTTTCCCATGGGCTGCCTCTGTCTTCAGCCTCTAGGAGATGGCACCCCAGAATTGCCTGAGTCTCTGAACCAAGACTGAGGACGCACCCTTCTGAGTTCCCCCAGGGGAATCGTGGCTGGTTTGTGAGTGAATGCCCATCTAAGTGAACACTTTATGGTATCCTGGTTTTTGTGGGGCAAGAGCTTCCATTTTACTGCTTTTCTTCACATCCAAACAGCCCTTTTCTAACACCCGCTCCCAGCGTACGCCTGAGGAGTCATGAACTCAATTACAGTTGACACTCTAAAAGGTAAGACCTCCCATTTATTTAGCATCCCTCAGCACCAGGCACTATGCCAAGCACTTTGCATATACAGTGCTAACTCATTTTGGCTGCACGACTCTAGGAGATAAGGGCAGCAGCTGTCCTCTCTTCAGAGATGAAGAGACTCACACCCAAGGCCGTCTATTTAGTAAGCAGCATGACCATCATCTAAATATGGGTCTATTTGGACTCGAAGGTTAGTGCCCTTGACCACAACACTATCCCTCTCCTAAAATGTCTGTGCTTCAAGTGAGGCTTGGCCATGGGACATCGTGGTATTTGGGTCCTCTGGACCAGGCGGGTCTTCATCCTACCTAACCAGCTGCAAGGTAAGGGTGGTGAGTGGCATTACCAGGAGGGAAACAGAAGAAAATGGGGGAAACCAGTTGTTAACTGCATCAGAGAGACAGGGCTTGCAAACTAGCTAGAGAAGAGGCAGGGCCTGGGTGAAGAAAAGGTAGAAGGAAGAAAAGAACAAGAACTCCTCAAGATCATCAGGTCAATCCTCCTGCCTCCGGGCAGACTGTTTCTAACCCATCCCAGGAAGAAAGGCCTCTTTCCTATCTAAAAATTCCTAGCGCCCACTCTTCTAATGCCTGAGTTATTTATATTTACATGTCTGTTTTTAAATCCTGCTGGGCACAGTGGCTCATGCCTGTAATCCCCAGCACTTTGGGAGGCTGAGGCGGGAGGACCACTTGAGCTCAGGAGTTAGAGACCAGCCTGGTCAACATAGGGAGACCCTGTCTCTATAAAAAATAAAAAAAACTAGCTGGGCATGGTGGTTCATGACTGTGGTCCTAGCTACTCAGGAGGCTGAGGTGGGAGGATTGCTTGAGCCCGGGGCAGTCAAGGCTGCAGTGAGCTGTGATTGCCCCACTGCACTCCAACCTGGGCAACAGAGCAAGACCCCATCCCAAGAGAAAAAGAAATCCTTTCAATCATAAAACACCTTGTGTCTAACTGAAGTCTCCCAAGCTTCAGCTTTAGCTCCTTGCCCTGTGAGCTGAACCTAAAGTGTCCCATTATCTTCATCCTGAAACTTAGAGTCTGTTATCAATGACCTGAACCTTTGCTTTTGTCTCAAGGCCAACTCCTCATCTTTAGTCACATCCTGATCCCTGCCAGCTCAGGGGCCCTTCTTCACCTGGGTGTCCAAATTGAGCTGCTCCCAGAGGTCATCATGCAGGGCAGAGACCTCAGACTCGAGGTGCTCATACTCTATGGTGCTGTTCGTCAGGGCCTGTGGGGGGAAGAGGTGTTCACTGAGAAAGCCGCCATCACCAAGGCATTCCTCCTTATCCTGAAACAGGCCCTGGGGCCAGGGTACCAGAGGCCCGAAGATCTGGGGAAGAGGGCATGGAGGGACCAAAGGAGAGGGGCACCAGGCTGAGACATTCTGGTGACAGCCAAACACTAGCCTTACAAGAGATGTAACAGCCCATCCCACCACCAACTGAAATAAAGAGAAAATAGAGAGGGATGATATCACTTCCATACCCTCCTATTCTCCCCAGATTAGGGGATAAAAACTAGAGGGCATAGCCTGGGGAAAATGACAAGACCCCATCTCTACAAATTACAAAAGGTAGCTGGGCATGGTGGTGTGCCCCTGTAGTCCTGGAGATTTGGGGGCTGAGGCAGGAGGATCACTTGAACCCTGGAGATGGAGACCGCAGTGAGCTGTGTTTGCACCACTGCACTCCAGCCTGGGCGACAGAGCGAAACCCTGTCCTTTAAAAAAATTTTTTTTTAAGTGGAGGGCAAAGAGAAAAGAGCCTGAAGGAGGATATTTGTTATCCGGAGGTTAGCAAGCTCCCTCCTTTCTGAGCCACACTTTCACAGGGCTTTAGCTGCTGCTTCTTGGAGCCATTCTCCAAGCAGTCCGTGCCGGAAGGTCTGCCTGTACCTGCTGGGAAGTAGTGACCAAGGCAGCAGCCTTTTTTTTTTTTTCTTTAGCTGGAGTTTCACTCTTGTTGCCCAGGCTGGAGTGCAATGGTACCATCTTGGCTCACAGCAACCTCCGCCTTGTGGGCTCAAGCGATTCTCCTGCCTCAGCCTCCTGAGTATCTGGGACTACAGGCATGTGCCACCATGGCCAGCTAATTTTGTATTTTCAGGAGAGATGGGGCTTCTCCATGTTAGTCAGGCTGGTCTCAAACTCCCAACCTCAGGTGATCCGCCCACCTCAGCATCCCAAAGTGCTGGGATTACAGGCGTGAGCCACCACGGCCAGCTGGCAGCACCTTTTTTGCCAGTGCTTTGCTTCTCCAAGGGAGAAGACAGAAGTGGGCAGCAGAGGTGTTAGCACAGCCAAGGAAATAAGTAACTCACAACTTCATGCTGTCCCAAAGAAATCCAGGTACAGGTACAGCTTGTGGGAAATAAGCTCATCTCCTCGGTGGAGACTGGAATGAGCAGTCTGGCTGACTTGCTATTTATTTGCAGGGCAATGTTGAGGTCTTTGTTTATGTCCCTCTGCACGGGAGGACTCAGCTTTTGTCCTCTGAGGAAAACTGGACTAGGACAACACAAGCTGGGAGGTGGTTGCTCTCCTGCCTAGTGCTGATCAGGTGGGGTGCATAAACCCTGCTCCCTGGGTTACCGTGGTCGCCTGAGACAGCTCCACACGGATGTTGATGAGCTGGTTCTGCAGAGAATCCTTTTTGTGCCGCAGCTTTTCTGGGTAGGCAGGCTGGCTTCCAAACATCTCCAGCTCCTGGTGGGTCCCCATCAAGGCACTTTCCAGGCTCTCCTGAAGAAAGGCAGGGGAATGACGTGAGCAGCCCTGACAGCTCCTCTCTGGGATTGAACAGCAGAGGCCTGAGACCTTAGAGGTTCAACAGGGAGTTGAGTGGAGGCTGTCCTTGCTTTGTCATCTTAGTCAGGATGGAGACAGCAGCCCACAACCTGCTCCAAGCCAGCCTCACCCATCTGCCCCAGCTTAAAGCCACCCCCAGCTTCTCACCTTCTCAGCTCGGAGCTGCTGCACCAGCCGGTCCTGCTCCCTCACCACCTTGTTCTGCTCACACAATTTTCCCAGCAGCTTCTAGGGTCCCAGAGAGTGGGGAAGGAGATGGAGAAAGAAGGGGATGAAGGCCACAGTTTGGTGGAGACCTGGGAGTTACAGGGCCTGGCCTCTGGATGCCCTCTCCTTTCTCCTGCTGAGGAACCCTGGGCCTTCACCTTGCCCTTGGTGGCTCCTGAGAACAAGAAGATGGGTCTTCCTCTTGGGAGGGGAGGTATGCTTACTCTCTGAGGAAGTCAGTTGGGTTAAGAGGGCTGAGAGCTAAGTGTTAAGCTCTGGCACCCCCATCCGTCCAAGGGTTGCCGTTCACGAAGGACAGAGGAGATGATGTGACCTCACCTCCTAGGCTGGACTGAAGAGGCGGGCCGGGTGTCAGAACAAGCAGTCTTAGAAAAGCAGTGAGCAATAGAAACTGTCCCTCAATCCCACAGAACCTTCTCCCTTCTCTCTCAAGATCCTGTTCTTCCCTCTTGCCTCCAAAGTCTCAGGATGGCTGACCCTCCCTCTGAGGTCTAGTCCTTTCAGGAAGGAACCTCTCCCAGTCTCACCAGGCAGGGCCAGTGGTGATGTGGAGCAGACAGCTGGGGCCAGAAAGAGGGCTTGTGCTTTCGTAGCCCACACCTTTTTCATGCCATTCCTCAAATACCTGCTTTGCTCCTTTCTACTGAGCCAGATTTTACCCTCTGGGCCTTTTAACTTCAAGGTCCAACTCACGTGCTACTTGTTTTGTCCCTGACCTTCAGCCCACACAGCCTCACTTCCCTGCACCTGGCAGAACCTATTACGGCTCCCCTTCACGACATGAATACTGTGTTGCCACCTCCTGCTGCTACCTGGCATCTCCCACTATCCCGAAGCTCCCTGAGGGCAGGGGCACAGCCGCATTCTCCTTTCTAGTTACCTGTAGGGACTAATGTCATGCTGGGCACAGAATAGACTGATCTATCTCCCAACAAAGTCTGCATTCGTGTTACAAGCAGATCTCCCTGCTGTAGGCAAAAGGGCCGAGCGCTCAGTGGAGAAACGGATACAGCCAGCATGGGAGGGAAGGGTGAGTAGGTGGTAGATCAGAAAAGAAGGGGGATGAGGAGGAGGTAGGCAGAATCTTGTTGTGGTGAGAGAAGACATGAATCAAAGGTACGAAGAGCCACCAGAAGGAGAGAGATGGATGGAGAGACAGCCCCCGCAGAGGACAGCAGTGGGAGGCTGGAGTGGAGGGAGGGAGCAGGGGCGCTGCTCTTACATCTGTGTCTTGCTCGTTTAACTTGTAGGTATGGAGGCTGTCCCGGAACACTTCTGGGTACGGAGGGACCTGCAGGAACATGAGGCCGGTTACTGCAGCAGGGGCAGGATAAGGGTATGCAGGGATAGGAAGCTGACATCACAATCCCGCTCAGCTCCTGCCAGAGACCGTGGTCCATCACCTCTGATGGTTTCTGTTTCAGGGACCTGAGTTCATTCTTCATCCCCTGGCTGGAAGCCTGGGATGGCCCAGCCTAACCCCATCCCAGTTGTCTTAGGCTGACTCCGGAGAGATCAGAACTCTGCTTGAGTCATGCTCTGTATTTCCTCTCCCCCAAGCACTAGGGTCTGCTGCTAAGAGGGACTGCAGGGTGTGCAGTTCCCAATGGCTTGTTGGTAACCACCATGAGAACATCAGTGAACTCCATGGCTGTCTGTGGGGATAAGACATGGGAGAATTGTCAGAATGAGCATTGGGAACAGTTGAAAACTATTGCCCTAGTAGACTGAACACCAGTCACAGGGCTTGTGTCTAAACCAAAATTGTCAAGAATTCAGAAGTGTCTCTGGGTCCAGCAAATGCTGCCTGGCCTGGACACCACATCTGGTGACCACAGCACATTCTATACGCTTTTGACATTAGATGGTTCCATTACACCCTTCATGCCTTTAACCCCAGTGACGTCTGTCAATATATTACAAATACGAAATCGAAATCAGAACATTGAAGAGCAGAGTTGCGATCCCCAGCATGGCATGAGATGTTGGTGCTGGCTCTTTTGATGGTTTGGGAAATGGGCCTTGGGTTTACCCATGAAAGTGAAGAATGGAGGTGACATAGTGGAATTAAGGAAGGAAGACCAGGCCAAGCCTGTCTCCAGGCAGATGAGCGGGTTGGGTGGCGTGAGCCTCATCCTAGATGGGCAACTCGACCATGCACAAGCAGCTGAAATGGCATTGGCAGGGACCATGCTGCCAGGCAGAGGTCTTACTTGCATGAAGAGTTGGGACCTGGGGGAGGAGTTTTCCACCATGCGGTTCACCATACTGATGAGAGTCTCACTCTCACTCATCTGCAGCGGAGGAAGGAACGGACTATTCACACTCCGACCCACATGTAGGTATCTCCCCCTCACCCACCTGTGCTTGTTTCCCAGGAAACAGGGGAGGGCAGCTCCCCCAGCATCCTGAGCTTGCTCACCCCTTATGACCTCTGTTTCAGGACCAGCACTGAAGCTGTCCTTGCAGAAAGGCCATGGAAGGGTCCGGGAGGCCACTGGGACCTTGCTGGAGGCACTGCAGAGGCCCCGGCCTGGTGATTCTTCCCCAGGGTGCCTGGTTGTTGTGGGTCCCATCCGCATTGGCCATGGTTGTCACCTCCCTGCCCTGATCTCATTTCTCACACAACTTTGGACAAAGACCATAGAAGCAATTGGAAGACGGATCTCCCCAAAGTTGAACTAAGTGAAACAACCAAAAAAGAAAATCTAGGACCTGGTCTTTGGATGGGCCACCACAGATACCGAGGCCTGGCTCCTCTCCCTGCCCCTGCCCCTGCCCCTGCCCACCCTCGGTTCTAGTACAGAAAGTGCTAAACATGGTTTCCAGAGCTGGGCTGGCAGCATCCTTGAGGATCTCAGATGATGCTAGGGAGCAAACAAGGAGGCCAAAACAAGCGAGCCACGTTAAAGGGACACCAGGCTCTCCAACACATTCTTTCTATTTCAAGAATCCTTAGGAACATGGGGGTGGAAAGACTATTTGCCAATTTAAAAAGAGAGAAATGGAAGAAGGGAGGGGATGAGAAGGAAGAGGAAGGGAAAGGAGGGGTGGGAGAAAGGGTGGGCCAACAAATCAACCAGAAATGCCATCATTTCCCCCACTGGTTCCAATGGGAAAGGACCAAAAAGTGAAGATATCAGGGAATGTCCTTGGCTGTGTCCCTTTAACTCCATGGTTCTACAGGGGAAGGCAGCAGAAGACAGAAGGGAGTGTGCAGGGAAAGCTTTCTGGAAGGGAAAGTGAATGAGGAAAGGAGGAAAGACACACATTAGGGAAGATTATCTGGGGTTCCTGTTCAGAGGGTCCCCTGTGATTTTTCCATCATCCCTCCAATCTCAGTTGCACCCACACTGTCCTTTCTTCCTCTTACCCCTTTTAGGCAGCTGCCCAAATACAGCCTTGCTTCTACATGTTGTAGGCAGGGCAAGGGCACCGACCACCCCATTTGCAGGGTCTGCGGCATTTCAAAAGGCTTTCCTAGGAACGGATTTTTCCTGTTTAGCCCTGGAATGCAAGGGCCTTGAGGGCTGGGAGCCATCCCTGCACAGTAAACTGTGTGTATCTTATTCTTTCCCCAACAAGCGGATCTAGAGCAGTAGAGGAAGTGAGCAGGAGTGTTTTCATCCTGGCCTGCTCCCGCCTGTGCTGCAGCTTTGGGGATCTTTCAGCCCAGGTGGGTCTTACCTCTAGGAGGATTCTTGTGTGCTACCTTCTGTCTCTCCAAAATGTTAGATTTTGTAAGAAACCACCTAACCCAGTGCCACACATGGTAAGGAGTGCTCGTTGATATTTTTGTGTTTGGGAAAAACAAAATAATCATAGCAGCAAGTGGTGATTGTCACTCCTTGCCGATGCCTGACAAAGAGCTCCCATATGCACCCCCGCTTGATTCTCCCAATACATCTGTGAGGTTGAAAGGAAAGGGCAGGTTCTACAATGCCCATTTTATGATTGAGAAAACAAAGACCCAGAGAGACTAAGTGACATTTCCAATATTAAAAAAAAAAAAATTCCTTGTAAATGGCAGAGCTAGAACTAGAGCAGCAGTGTCTGACTATGTCCTGGACTCTTCTCATCTACAAGACTGCCTTTTGAGAGTATTACCCTTGGCCAGGTACAGAGTCTCACGCCTATAATCCTAGCACTTTGAGAGGCAGAGGTGAGAGGACTGCTTGAGGCTGGGAGTTTGAGACCAGCCTGGCCAACACAGTGGGGCACCCATCTCTACAAAAAAAATTTTTTTTTTTTTTTTTTTTTTTGAGACGGAGTCTCGCTCTGTCGCCCAGGCTGGAGTGCAGTGGCCGGATCTCAGCTCACTGCAAGCTCCGCCTCCCAGGTTCACGCCATTCTCCTGCCTCAGCCTCCGGAGTAGCTGGCACTACAGGCGCCCGCCACCTTGCTCAGCTAGTTTTTTTTTTTTTTTTTGTATTTTTTAGTAGAGATGGGGTTTCACCGTGTTAGCCAGGATGGTCTCGATCTCCTGACCTCGTGATCCGCCCGTCTCGGCCTCCCAAAGTGCTGGGATTACAGGCTTGAGCCACCGCGTCTGGCCCAAAAAAATTTTTTTTCAATTAGCCAGGTGTGGTGGCTGCACACCTGTCTGTAGTCCTAGCTGCTCACGAGGCTGAGGTGGGAGGATCGCTTGAGCTTGGGAGGTGGAGGTTGCAGTGAGCTATGATTATGCCACTATACTCTAGCCTAGGCAACAGAGTGAGATTCTATCTCAAAAAAAAAAAAAAAAAAAGAGAATAATACCCTTTATCCGTGAGGGAGTCCTCTGGAAGGCTGTTTCTGAAGCCCCCAGCCTAATGGGCCAGCCCCTCTGTGAAAGCAAAAGCCCCCAAGAAGGGACCCTGCTGTCTGCACTGAATGCTATGACAACAGGGCATCATGGATGGAGTAGAAAGCCAATCACATGGGCGACAGGGAGGGCAGCTTGCTCGGGAACCTGGAGGCGGATGGGCCCTGAGCCCCACTCCTCACCCCTGCGAGGCACTTCGGATCTTGCTTCCCATCAGCAGGATCCTGGGCCTCCTGTCCCTGCTCCGAGTTGGAATCCTGGGATCTGTTCCCACATTGCCCAGAATGCTCATGGTGTGACACAATAAGCTGCTTTCGGAGTTGGAATGCAATGGCCTCCAGGGCCAGGAGCCATCCCAGCTTATTGAACTGTGGACATTGCTGCTTCCTAGTGCCTAAGGCCTATTACAAAATCGAATTGCGACATCGGCATGAAGCCCCAGTGAGATGGGTCACGCGGCTTGTGACTAGAAGAAGCAACAGTTGCAGCTATAGCATCTGATTTCAAATTTATGGGTTTTTTTTCTGTAACTTTAAGAGCATGAACTCATCCTAATGAGGTTTGACGGCAGCTTTGTCACACATTAGATGTTTCCTCAGCTGTAAACTGGGTCAAAAGCTTGGAGTCACATCGCAAGCTCAGCTGTTCACTGGCTGTGTGTTCTTGGCACGTTATTCAACCTCTCTGTGCTTTAGTTTCCTTGCCTGTAAAATGGGGGTAATAACAGCATCCACTTTACAGGGCTGTAATGAAGATTAAATGAGTTAGAGATCTGAAAAATGCTTAGAATAGTATGGGGCATGGAGCAGGCATCCAATTATTGCAGCTGTTGTTATTAGTCTTTCCACTCCTCAGGCTGCCTCCACAGGACAGTGTGTACTTCTAGGTCGTGGTTTGTAGCACAGATCTGAACTTAAGAGTATGTGCTTATATAGATACCCAGCATATCGACCCCCAGCCTGTCTAAACTCAGCCTCACAGCTCCCTTAGCTTAAAACACAAGAAAGGGTTAGAGCCCTGGAGTAGACACCAGGCAGCCAACTGCTTGCAGCTCATGGAACACTCACTGCCTCTTCAGCTTGCTCACCTGTAAGACTGGGTTGATAATACTCCCTCTGTTTGCACTGAATTCTTAGGAATGCACAAGCTGTGTATGCAAAAGAGCTTTTGGAGGAACTAACGAATACACTGAGCGAATATTACTTTAAAAATCATCCTGGGGAGGGTCTGTAGGCCTCAGTTTACCAATTATGGACTTTAACAACAACCTGTAAAATATGATACGATGATTTCCCAGATTCAGGCGGAACTAAATCCCTAGCATTTTAGGCCCAGCCTAGAGCTCCCTGGACTCTGCGACTCTCTCCTCTCGCCAGCAAAAATGCAAATTCCCACCTGCCCCCTGGGGGCCGTTCCATCCGAGCAGAGCACTGGAGAAATAAGAGGTGGCATTAATTATTCATGCGCCTACTTATTATGCTTCTTTCCCCAGGAAACTCCCAGCTGTCCTAAAGGGCTTTGAAAAGAAGGGGTGTGTAGGCGCAAACCAAAACATAAGCCACTTTGTTGTGTCCTGCTTGCACCAACAAAGGTTGTAAAATGGCTGGAAGATGAGGAGGTGGGGAGGAGTGGAGAGATGCGACAGGAAGGCAGTGGGATGGGGGGCACCAGCTCTGCCTACCTGCTGATCCAAATACTCTAGGTTTCTTTGCAACTGAAGATCTAAAAGTTCATCCTACCCGGAGCCCGAGGCCCAGAGGCCAAACAGCAACACAAACAAACAGGAACACACAAAAGAAAACAATAAAAAAAGAAGCAAAGCAGTTAAGAGTTAGCGACAAGGACATGGAGAGGCTTCTCCCTCTGCCCTTGGGGAGTTCTCAGGAAGGGAGGGGTTGAGGATGTGGGCAGGCAAAGTAGTTCTCTACTGGACACTCCAGGGAGAGCAGGGGCACACGCAGGCCCCGCTGCCATCTCTCCTAGGTCTGCCTACACCTCCCTGGGAGAGGTGAGTGTCATCAGAGCAGTTTAGGCAGCACTTGTTAGCAGCTGTTTCTGAGTTTTCTGGAAAAATCGGTTGTTTCTGGGTGTATGTGTTTGCTGTGGGTAAGGCTTATACGCTGTGGACACTGGCAGAGTGAGAATCAGACAGAGAGGGGAAGGAGCCGCCGCCTAGCCTCCAGCCTGCCCAGCCCTCCTCCACCCTGGCCTCCTGGTACTGTTATGGAAACGAGTCAGCAACAGGCTTTCTGGACAAGGATTCTGCCTGTTGGTCCCAGTGGTCCTCTCCAACCCTCCCAAGCGGAGCATCTCATCTAGGTCTCTAGGTGGTAGCAGAAGTTCTCAGAAGAACAAATTCCAGGGAGAGACACGAGTAGAAAGAGGCAGAGAAAAAGGAGGAGATGCAATTCAGAAAATTTTTTCTTCCTCAATCATATTGCTTGTATCTCTCCCCAAAAGTGGCATTCCAGACAAAGGACAAACGTAAATAACTATGCTTCAGGGGAAAAAAGTTTAGAAAACCTTGCTTCTTGTTAGGAGCTCTGGCCTGATTTTTCCTGCCTAGGCCTCTTCTCCTGCATGCTGGAGAGGAGAGGGACCAGGATATTACATGCTCCCAGATCTCATCCCTCCTCCACAGCCTGTGTCACAGAGGAGAAGGGGTTACTGGCACCAAACTTGATACTGGGGCTAGAGTCCTGACTGGGAGGGAGGAAGTATCCAGAGGCTGCTAAAAACCAGCCAGGCCAGGCACTAGGCACAGAGCGTCCCTGGAGTCCACCCCAGTTTAGCTCCACCCTGGGTGGAGCACGGTGCGGGGAGGCCCTGAGGCAGGTGGAGGGGAGAAAGGACGTACCATCTTATCGTGGACCGTGGGGGATGGTGGGTAGTTGTAGGGGAACAGTCCTGCAGGGACTGGCCGCCTGTCTCCCAGGTAATCATACTGGAAGAGAAAGGGATCACAGAGGTGAGGGGTCTGGCTGGGACACAGAGTTCCCCACCAGCTGAAGCTCAAGGTTAGAGGTGTTTGTGTTCAGTCCCAGAGCAGATCCCAAACTGAAATGGACAGCAGCCCCCCGTGCAATGATCTGTCTAGGTCCTCAAGATTTGAAAAGACAGAACCCTCTCTGCCCTCTTACATGACGGCATGGTTTCTGGCACAACCTGGGGGTATGTACAGAAAGCAATGTTCCCACTCAAGAGGCAAAGCCATCCCCAAGACAGCTCTACTACAGACAGAACCACAGGCCAGGGGCTTCCCTGGGCAACACTGCTGGTCCTGTGGACACACAGCCCAGTGGCCCTGTGGCCCAGATGCTCCCACATCTCTGCCTTTTCCCAGTAGATTGTCTTAGGCTTCTGGGGATCTCAGGGAATGAGGAAGGAACGGCAGGCTGGTGGCTCACCTTGGGGGAGCTGATGGATCGCCTCATCACATAGGCAGCAGGGTCAGCATAGATGTCCTCGCTGCGAGGTGGCAGTCGCTCAAAACGGGCACTGGGTGAGCGGACAGGGGAGTAAATGCGGGCACGGCTGTAGGAACCCTGGCTGGGTGAGCGGGGCACAGAGTGGGAGCGGGGCTGCAGGGACAGGCGGCGCATGGAGCTAGAGGCAGCATCCAGCTCATCATAATAGACTGGTTGCCGGGAGGGGCTTGGGATCCAGACGGTGCCATCCTGCCGCCCGTAGCTGGCGGGCTCCTTCCACTCTCGCAGCTGGTAGGCAGGGCCGCCCCCGTTGCGGAAGGCATGGCGCTTGTCCTCCAGGGCCCAGGGCGGGCTGATCCGATCATAGGCCGGCATGGAGCAGATGCTCTCTGGCCGCACCCCTGGCGGGTAGTACTGGTAATCATCAGGGTACTGGGAGGAGTAGGGGCTGTAGTACTCAGGGACCCTGCGAGACACAGGGTAGAATCTAGAGGGACTGAGAGAGAGGGGATATTGTAAGGAAAGCAGACAACACAGGCACCCCTCCACCCACCCCAGCCCCACCTCCAGGTCCCCCAGCCTAGAGCAAGGTGCTTGAATAGGTACACAGGGGCTGAAGTTTATTCCAGAGGTGATGGAAAGACTCCTGTCCTCACAGCCCCCTTCCTCAACCAGCTCCCCAAGGCTGGACACTGCACCATTCAGAGCTTCAATCTTTGTCTCTTTAAAATGACATATCCCTAGGAAGAAACGTGAAGCCTTATCAGACGTCTCCATCTCAGCATGAACCAGTTTATCAGATCTTTTCTGAGAGAGGCAAATAGAAGAAAGTCTACCAGGCACCTGAAGGAGGGCAACACAGAAGGGATGAAAGGGCAGCGTCCTGATCTATTGTATATTATTTTACAGATGAGGTCCATTCTGTCACCAGCCTGGAGTGCAGTGGGGCCATCACGGCTCACTGCAGCCTTGAACTCCTGGGCTCAAGGAATCCTCCCATGTCCACCTGTAGAGTAGTAGCTGGGACCACAGGTGTAAGCCACCATGCCCTGCTTTCTGATTGTATGATCTTGTCAGGGACTGAACCAGTAGGTTCTTGGGACTCATCCCAAATGATTCTCCCCAGAGCAGGCCTGATACTCCCAGGCACAAGACCACCAGCAATGCGCAGCTGCTCAGGCCACTACAGGGCAGGTTCCTCCCGGGCCCCATGGCCTTCCTGAAGCTGTGGCCTGCAGTCCCTGGAGCTGCCCAAATCCCCAGGGAAGGAGCCTGCAGCCCCATTTGCCCTGAGGGACACCACTGGGCCCAATAAATGTCCCCAGATATTTCAAAGCCAGTCATTGGATAAAGGAGTAAATGGTCATAGAGGGCCGTGTTGGGACCAATGAGCTACTTGGTTTTGTTTTTTAACTTCATATAAATCATGGCTTTAAAACAATTAGAGCTGTTCAAAACTGGAGTGGGTTGGTCTGGCAGTTAGTGAGTCTCAAGTGGGTAGAGCACTGGAGGAGAGGATGTTGTAGGAGGGCCCATAGCTTGGATGGATGTCTGACTATAACAACTTCAGGCCCCCTCCCAAAGCCTGCTGTGTTCTGGGCTTCCCAGCATGCCGTGGAGAGGCACTGGGGCACTCTGTCCCTTCTTCTGAAGGAAGCAGACAGAGAAACCAAGAACCAGGGACAGCAGCCAGACTCTAATGGTGGAGCCATGGAGCAGGAAGGATTCGGGCAAGCCAGAAGCATGGGATTTGGCTTCCCAATTCAGCCTGCTTCCAGAAGGTTTCCAACAGGGGATGCCTCATGGGCTATGACCCCACTCCCACGTTCTAGCCATAACACCATATCAGCCCCACCCCAGCCACTGGCATGCCTCACCTCCGAAGGTCTTCAGGCGGGGGTACCCCCCGGCGCAGGTTCACCCACTGCTGAAGCTGGTTCATGGAGCTCTTGCGCTGGGCAATTTTGTCAGGGTTGGTGCGTGGCGGGAAGCTCCGCCGGTGTCCCCCAGTCTCTCCGTCCTGAGGCGGGAAAGCTGTGCTCCCTGGCCGGCTTGGGGAGTGGTACTGCCAGCCATTGGGCTGGGCAGGTTGTTCCCCACCCCCTGGCACCCTTGGGCCCTCGGGGTAAGGGCTGCCCGGCTCTGAGGCTGGCTCCGGTCCAGCTGGGAGGCCGTTGGCTTTCACCAGAGGCTCTTTCTTGACTTCTGGCCTCTCCGGCCTTCTCTCTGCCTTTTCACAGCCTCGGCCATCACCCTCCCCTCGAGTCTTGGCCTCTGGCTCAGGCTTGGGAAGGCTGTTGTGGGGCGGCTGCTGGTGGTGCTTGCTGGGTGGGATGTTCTCCGAGTCTGGCTTCTCATGGCTGCTGGATGCCAAAGGAGATGCTGTCAGTGACTTCAGCCCAGCATGGAGTGGGGCAGGGGGTGCCAGACTGGGAAGGAGAAGAGGAGTGGGGAAGGATGGGCAGGGAGGTGGCAATGGAACCAGGATTCTATGAATTCCTGTTCTGCTTCTTAAGTCTCACTGCTTCATCTTCTCAATCCAGCCTGGGAAATTATTATACAACCTAATCTGCCCCTACCCACACCTGCTGTGTTAACTCTGCCCCCATCATCTTCTCTGCAGGTCATTCTCCACCCCACTCCCCTCTGCCAGTCTGCTTTGAGCCCAGCCTTCAAGCTATGGCATGACTCACCTCACCTAGTCTTGGTCCTCTCTGTAATCTGTCCCTGACCCAGCTCCCCAAACTGGGTTTGCACTCTTATCAGTAACTGTCCTTGATACTCCAGCGACAAAGGCTTGTGATGGGGCACTTGTCTTTCCTATAGAAAGTTATTTAACTGCCAAGAGTCTTGGGCTCCTCATCCGCAGAATGGGTATAATAATATCTCCCCTCCTAGGACTGCTGTGAGATAAACATGGCGGGCCTCAGGAGCAGAAGTTTCTGCTTTGAAACTCACAAGCACATAAACACGCTAGTTCCCTTCTCCAAAACACGTTTCTTCCAGGTCTGACTTTCCATCAGAATACAGGCCCCAAAAGGGTAGGAACGTGGCAGACTTTCTTCCCCTGTGTTCCTAGCACCCACTACAGTGCCTTACACTATTTATATTTACAGTAAGTATTTGTGAAATGAATGAACTCTTGGAAGTAAGCCCCTTGGTTGAAGCGAAGATGGAAATTTGTGACAATTTTCCCCCTACAGCTTCCCAAACTCCACACATTCAAGCATCCTTGTTGAAACATTGCTTAGTAAACATTTCTAAGATATGTGAATGGACTTGGAGTCTACACTGTGAAACCCCCTTCTCCTGGATCCCCCTTAGCACCTAACTCAAGACTCCACACACAGCTAAGGGAGAGACAGACGCTGAGACCGCGGGTGACGGCGGGCGATGGGAGCGGCCATATGTTAAGAGTTTACTGCATGTCGAGTGTTTTACATGCACTCTGTGTAGGCCTCACGACAACCCTGAGGTAGAGTTATGTTTGCTGGTTTTTGAGCAGAGGAACCTTGGGTTCAGAGAGGGTAAGTCCCTTGCACTGAGGTCACGCTGCAGCCAAGTGGACAAGGTGTGATTCAAACCTGAGTTTATTTTCCTCCAAAGGCGGTGTGCTTAACACACACAGCTGAGAAAAAACAGCAAATGACACTGACCTCTGGCTCCTGGCCAGGCCCCAATGGAACCTGGCTTTTCTCTTGGCCTCCCCCAGCTCAGAGAGAAGAGGGGGAGCTGGCTAGGGGAAGAGAGACTTCAGGCTCTGAAATCACTCAGCCAGGCCTCCCGCCTGGATGCAAGGAGTCGGCTCACACATCCTCCAGGGCTTCAAGCAGGCACACTGGGATTAGCAATGACCCAGAGCTGAGTATGTCTTCCATTCCCCTCTTAATTCTTCCTGCATCCCCACACTCAATTCCCTGGCACTCACCTGTGCCGCCCAGCTTGGGGCACTGACTTCTGGGCTGGAGGGATCTGTACTCGAGCAGCCTCCCCCATGGCCTGGATCCAGGCCTCTTGCTCCTCGGGGCTCTCGGCACTGAAGAAGTAGGTGCGGACCCCAGCATGCTCGGCCTGTGGGGAGAGGCAGTGCGTGGAGCTGGCCTCGGCCTCATCCACCCAGCACACAGTCACCTGTTGGGAGAAGACACCGACACCCACAGAATGGGCAGTCAGTTGGGCCATTCCCTGCACCTGGGGCTCTTCCCCATGCGGAGCTCAGGAGCAAGGTGAGGAGGGCAGCTTGCAGCTACCCCGAGGGCTCCAGCTAGTACCCAGGTATCCACCTTGGCTGGCTCTCTGGGCACCATTAGGCAGCCCAATAACCAGGTCAGCCTACTTGCCCCACCTGGGGTAATTAAAGCAGGAGGCACAATGATCACACCCACTTCCCCGGCAAATTCCATGTTTGATTTCAAAGGCAATGACCCCGTGTCTGGGGAGAGGACCCTGAGCACATGCCAATCTTAGCCCCAGCTTTTCACTGCTGAGAAGCTAGCACTGTCTCTTCACGTGGAGAGACAGCCAAGCCCCTCTCTGTGGGCATGCAAAGCAGACACTGGCATACAGACGGGGCACACTACCTAGTTGGCGGCTGTGAGCAGGTACTGCGGGCGGGAACCCAGAAGAGAGCTCCTGTCCAGAGGAGGGGTCCTCACGCGGTCAGAAGGAGAAGCAGAGAACAGGTCAACCAAACACCAGAGGGAGAGACAGAAGACGACGTGACAGGAAATGGTGAGGAGCACAGGGAAGGGGGGATATTCAGATTGTCCCCTTCTACTCTGTGTCTCCCCTGGGAATGGCAGCACCCAGCGATGCCCAGTTCTGCCTACCAAGGGGTTGGGAGTGGAGAGCTTGCACCAGGGAAATTCAGGCTGGTGGTGGAGAGTGAGTCAGGGAATCGCAGCGCTAAGCCTGGCTCTGCTCCTGACCAGCTCTGTAACTGCAGACAAATTGTGGTTTTGCTCTGGCCTTCACTGATGCATCTATTTCATGGGAAAAGGGTCTGTCTGGTGAAATTTAAAGTTCTTAGGCCACAAGGAAAAGAGGCCACAGGACTAAATTCTTTCTGGGACCTCAGCATACTTCCCAGTGAGATCCTCAGTAGCTTGACTTAGCCCACTCAACAGGGGACATCTAGCAGTGATTCAGAGTCTCGGATGTGAGCCTTACTCCAGCCTCTGACCCCTTGAGCCCTAAATCCTGGGTCTCTGGGGGTCAAGATAGCCTCAAGGCTCCCCTGAGCAGTGATGTCAAAACCATACCCTCTAAATGCTCAAAAGGTTCCTCAGTTGCAGCTGGTCCCACCTCGCCTCCACCTGTCCCCAGCCCTCAATTTCTTTCTGGCAGGAACAATTACCCAGCAAGAGGCAAGGGTGGGCCTCCTTCCTCTGGTCCCCAACCTCCAGCAGAGGACTTAGCATGTGGGCGGAGCTTGGGGCAGGTGTGGGAGAGGGCAGGGGAGGTGTTGACAAAAAGCCAGTGAAGCCTCAAGAGGGCAGCTGAAACTTGCGACGGATCGGGGGTAGAGAGACCAGAGGCCCAAGCAAGTCCTCTGGGTGGAGAACACAGGGTTATTGTAGAGAGGAGACACACAGGCAGGGCTCGTGGGTGTGTCCTGGGGCGGGTGGGAGTGGGCAGCAAATGAATTCATCAATTCAATGAGCATCCAGGGAGCAGCCTGTGTGTGCAGAACTCGGTGGGGGCACCAGTCACAAGGAAGGCAAAGACAGGCTCTTGCACTTGAAGAGCTGACAGTCACGCTGGGGGACAAAACATGCCACGGGAAACAAGGAGAGAGCAGAGGCACAAGGACAAGTGCTGTGACAGGGGAAGGCAGAGGGCCTGGGAAAAGGCAGGGCCATTGATGGGGAGTGGGCAGGGGCGCTGGCCTGGAACTATGAAAGGGGGCCAGAGAATTGAGGGAGCTGTCCCAGCGGGGCAAAGCCCTCGAAGCCTCTGTGGGGCCGAGTTAGGAAGAAGTTAAGGCATTCAGCAGTAGCCTGGGCAGGAACAGTTCCTGGCTCATTCTTAACCATCCAAGAGCTTTGCTCGGTGGCCACAGCAGGACAAGCCTCCCATCTGTCTCAGCTCCCCTCCCTTCCCGGGGGAAGGGCCATGGAATAGCCACAATCAGAACCCTTTGTGGACCACTGAGCACAGCCCTCGGAGTCAGGTTTGAAAGAGGCAGTGCAGTGAAGGGGAAGGAGGCGAGGAGCTGGTGGGCAGAGAGGTGATATCTGGGATCTGTGGTCGGGGGAGTGTGTCAGTCACTCGGGGATGTTTATCTCACGCCTGCTGCTGGCAGAGCTCCGAGCTGGAGCGTGTCTGTGTCTCTGCACAGGTCTGGTGGGGAGGGTGAGACAGGCTGTTTGATTGTGTGTGTGGGTGTGTGTGTGTGTCTGTGTATAACAGGACTACTTGTTGTTGGTTAAACAGCCTGTTCCTATTTCCCCAGCTAGAACTGGCTCCCTGGAGTCAGAGTTTTATTAATTGTTCATTCTCTTCACACCTCTGGCATACAAGACCCCAGGAGGCTTGAAACTAATTATGTGCCAAATAAGTCCTTCCTTGATCCCTGTAGCGGGCCCTGTGCATGCTGCCCAGCCTTTTTCCGTGGCCAGGTGACTGGAGCCTGAAGGACAGGAAGGGACAGAGTCCCTTCTTCTAAGGCTCTGGAAGCTCAAGGAGTGACCTACGGGTCCCATCATCTAACATCATAGCTTTGAAGGGCCTTGGACAGCAACTGTCAATTAGGACAGAGAGGGCTTTGCAGCCAGACAGTGTGTAGTTGATATTATAATTTTATATTTGAAAAATGAAAAGGAACCTATGATTTTTGCATCATAAAATACAAAAGGGCATGAGATTTTTATAGTTTTTGATGGGTCATGAATTTTTAACTGTGGAAAAACACTGGCCTAGGACGAGCCAGCTGCAGGCACATCTTTAACGGGTGGCTCCCCAGGGGTTCAAGGCAGTGATATTGAGCAGGCAGGAAAGGCCCATTTTCCTGTGCACTTGTTCTCTCAAACGGTTTCTTCATGAGATGTGCAGCTCTTGTGGAATGAAACTCAACTCCTAATATTCACTAAAGACTGAAATTTGAGTAAGGTTTACTTGGAGGTAGGTCCAGTTTGCTGAAACCATGGTGGGGAGGAAGCCTTTCCAGAAAAGGTCTCAGAACCCACCAGCCACAGCTCCTGCCTCTGCCCAGAGGGATTTCCCAGGGGCAGGCACTGGGCAAAAGGTCCACGGACTCAGAACATAACTATTCCTGCCCCAGTAACAATTGCGGTGCTGCTGAAACACATCTCTACTGGCCCACTCTTGGGAGAATTGCCCACCCAACCCCCAAGAGAGGAGGAAGGTCCCAGCATAGCCTTGCTCTAGCCTTACAAGAGACTGTGCTGAGTCTAGGGGCCATTACTACTCCCCCTCCTCCGCCCACCACCACTGCTACCACCATCACCACCTGGGATTCCTTAGGGTGACGGCTCTTGGCCCTTCTCCATTCCCACAGGCTGTAGAAGAGCAGGCCTCCCTCCCCCAACTGCCCTGGGAGGGGAAGACCAACTGACCTTAAACGTGTGTTTCCGGCTGATGTTGTCTGAGGGCTGCACTGCGGCTACCCGGAAGCTCAGGAGGGGGATGCTGCCTAGGATACTCTCTTCCTTCTCATCTGTCAGGGAGAGAGGCACAAGAAGGGTGTGTGTGTGTGTGTGTGTGTGTGTGTGTTTGTGTGTGTGTATGTGTGTGCACGCATACCAGGGGTGGGGAGGAGTGTATTGCCCCTCCCTGATAATATCAATACATATTTATTGTTCACCTCCTATTTGTCAGGCACTCAGGGCCACCATACATGCTCCGAGAGGACACTCCCTGGAGTTAGGGAATGTGATGGCCCTGGAGATGCTGTTCCAGACACTGGGACTGCAGAGGTGAATAAGAGAGAAATAGTGCCTACCCTAAGGGAATTCGCCTTCTAGTGCACAAATAAACAAAGAAATAACAGCTGATATTTGGAAGCTCAGGCACTGTTCTAAGTGAAATGCCTTAATGGATTTAATCCTCCCAACAAACCCATGAAGAGGTCCTATTACTACGTTTATTATTACCCTTATTTTATAGGTAAGGAAGCTGAGACACAAAGAGGTTAGATGATTTATCCAAGGTTACTTAAGGAACAAGTGATAAAATTGGTCTTCAAACACAAAAAGTGAACTCCAAAGCTAGCATTGTTGACCACTCTCCTATCTATCCTGCCTCGCTAAACGAGACCATCCCACCAGTGACATATGTAACAAGGTGATGGGACAGATCATTGTAGAGTGGACTGTCCCACCTTCTGCTCTCTGGTGCCTCTGGGTCACTCTTTCTAAGGTTCTCCCTGTCACTCAGAGCCTGCTTTGCCCTTTCCAGCTGCAGATCCCCGCTGAGGTTCTATGTCTCCATAGGAAAAGGCACCCCTGCCTGGAGCACTCTGGCCGTCTTCTCCCTGGGAGGAGAGGGCTAACAGTCCAGCTATTACATAATTCATCCTGGATCTCCAAACGAGCCTGATGGATTGGCCAGTTGGGCCCCCTGCTGTCAGCAGGAGGCAAGAAAGGGCGGGGAGTGCTCTGTGGGACTGTGGGGGGACAATTATGAGACCATGGCAAGGCCCTCCCCACTTCCCTGGGATCGCTATTTGTTCCCCAGGCTGAGGACTCTGAAAAGCCTTCGGCTAGGGTTCAGAGGAAACCTCTGTAGGGTTATGAACTCCTCAAGCCCTGCTTCTCCTCTTACTCATCACATCTACACAATACTTGGCCCATAGATCAGCTTCTCTATTTGGACCCCAGCATGGTACCTAGAGGAAGGGGTAAACCAGAGTAGTAGGAGGCACTCAGGGTTGGACCCCAGGGCTGCCTTCAGGAGAACTGAGGCTCTTGTCCTCCAGAGATGGAGCCCCTGCCTGGCAGAGTCCAGGCCAGCATTTAGGTGAGTCCTGAGTCCATCTCTTGGTGAATAGTGACCTCCATTTTGGTGTGTCCTGAGCCTTTGGGTTCTCAGCTCTTTGAGGTTCTACCCCCACTGCTTCCCAAAGACTCTCTTCTGCAGAGACCCCCGTTTTCCTCCCAGTTTCATTCCCACTCTGGCTCCATTGTGGCCCGATATCCTGGAGGCTCAGCACCTGGGTCCTAGGCCTGGGCAGATTCCTCTCCCTGAGTCTTGGGCTTTTCTCTGGGACTGGACTCTGTATGCTCAGCCCCTTCCTGTTTTCCCTCCTTGGGGTTCAGGTGGCTGCAATACAGCAACCAGGGACAGCAGTGCTCTGCAGGGTCACTGGGTACAACCTTTGTTTGCCAAAGTTAATGATTCACTGAATTGCTCCCAGGAGGCCTGGAAATGAGGGCTATGCCCTCCTGGGCCAAGGGAGTGAAGGAAAGAGCCTCTCCTGCTTCATAATCATTGTACCCTCTCTCCTCTCACCCCTCACACCCATTTCCTCCCCTGCATCCACATGGCGCCACCATCACTGACCTCAACCCTTGCTGGTGCCCTCAGCCTGCCTTGGCACAACTTTTAAAAATAGAGAGTAGGGAAAGGGAGTTGGGGTCAGCAGAGAAGGTGAAGCCGGAGGATATTATGTTCACTCATTCAGTATTGACTGAGCACCGACTAAATGGCAGGCAGTGTTTTGGGTGCTGTGGATACAGCAGTGACCAACACTGACAAAAGTTCTTGCCTTCACAGATGGGACTGTGCATTCCAGTGGGACAGGAGGAAAGGCCACACACAAGCTCCAATTAGTAGGTGACCTGACCTACTAGTAGTGACTAGTGACCTCCTCCTCTTTGTCCTTGTCCTCTCTCCCCATTCCTCCAGGATTTCACCAGCCATATGACCACCTTGTTCACCCAGTGTATCGCTGGAACTCTGCCTGAAACCTAGCAAGCATTGTTGAATGTGAACTGAATGGGTGAGTGAGTGTGTGAGTGAACAAGTGAGCTTTGTTTTTATCCTGCTGCCACTGGTGCCAGGACCACAGTGAGGAGATCTGCCCTGCCGGTGCCCATCCAAAGCCAAGCTTGGGGATATGGCAGAATGAGAAGGAGTGGTGGGTCCTGGCTTCCTGCCATCCCTGCCAGTCCAAGGGCCAAGCTCACCTTTATAGTAGAAGAGGCAGCGATCCACCAGGACGAACCAGCGCTTGTTCCACTGCTTAACCCCGGAGCTGGCCTGCGGGACACGGGAGAGGCAGATGTAAGGGCTGCAGGCTGGATGTGGAAGAGGAGGTGGAATGCAGGGAAAAGGGCACCATGTCAATTATAAGGACATCGTGGCCTTAGCTGCGGCTCTGCTGTAATGCACGGCAGCAACCCCTGGAGACCTCAGATGCAAGGAACTGACATTAGATTATTGCCTATGACCTTCCAGTTCTGTCATTCAGTGCCTCCCCTGGGGAGGAGAAGAGGGGCAAGAGATGAGCAGAATGAGTGAGAGGAAGGGCAGGCAGGGATAGCGGCAAGGCCAATCTGGTGCCAATCTGTGAACCCTAGACTTTCAGGAGACACCCCTACCCCCCACCATAATAAGCAGGACCTGCTTGGGAGCTAGTGGGTTGTTCCCACGGGGTTGGGGACTCAGCATGTTTCAAGGTCATTGCATCTGCCCATCAGGACACCGGGCTGGGTTCCCAAGTTTGACACAAATTTTTCTGTGTGACTTTGGGAAGATACTCGTTTCTCTGAGCCTTTATAAAATTAGGAGACTCATTCACAGAGACAGCAGGAGGACATACCAAAAAAAATACATGGACTGTCATAAGCACAGAGGAATCCTCATTCTATGAGGAAAAGGTGGAGGCTACGGTGGCCAGAACAGCAGGGTGGCCTCACCTGTTTGAAGAGCCAGCCCGCCTTGGTGACAGGTGCATTGGGGTTCCGCTTCATGGAGTGTGAGCGCTTGCCAAAGGCGACAGCTTTGCGGGCTGTGCGAGTTGCCTAGGGGTAGAAAGAGAAGCTGACCTAGGTTCCCAGTCTCCTCCTTCCTGCTCTATCTGCAAGGGAGCCACCCCTGCTAGAGCTGCTTCTCCCTAGGGTTAACCCCGGGATGCCCTCAAGCCAAGGGGCCTAGGTGTGAATCTTAGATCTATTACTAACTCAAGAGCAGAGCCTTCCAGTTCTTTGGCAATTTTTCTCATTTCTAAAATAGGGCTCAAAATAATAATTCCCAAAAATAAAATAATAGTTCTACCTGTCTCATAGCTTTTTTTTTTTTTTTGGAGGTGAAAATAATAAGATTTCCAATTTCACTCTGGCCTATCCTACTCCCAGCCGCCTTACTCCCTCTGTCTTCCACAGTGCCTTCTGCAAGTTAACTCCCTGCATCCTCATCCTCTGAGGGTCCCGTGCGTCGTCTCGTGCCCAACATAACACGGAGCCGCGAGGAGAGACGGATGTTCTAGCTCTGTGTTGCCACGTGAACACTGTCATTCTTCCACACTCGGGCAATAGTCCACCTTGCTGGAAGCACCACTGCCTGATCTCCCACTGTTTAATCCTTCTCATCACTGTCCGCTTCTCAATCGTTCTTTCAGAGTCTAAGGGTTTTGATGTTAGTCCTCCTCTTCATTCTGTCTTGCATCACTGTGGAAAATCTCCTTGCTCAGGAGCATGACCCAGCAATGCCCTAACTTTATACAGCCTTGATGTCCTCAGCTCCAGCACTCTCCACCTGCACTCCAGCAACGCTCCCAGGTCTACACCTTTAGTCTTCTCAGCACCCCAAGCCCCTCCGCTGCTACCATCTTCACTTCCAGGATTCCTGCTTTCTGATCCCAACATTCCACCCTTTGGGCTTTCTCACTCCATTAACTCAATACCAGCTTTTCTACTCCATTGAGGTCCCCAGCTCCTCAATTCTCCTTTTTTCTGGATCCATCAGCTCCTCCCAGTTTTCGTTACTTCCCTACAAGGCCTAGGCCCCATGGTGGAGTATATCAACTGGGCTCTCACAAACCCCATCTATTGTCTTCCTACCTCACCTTCTCTAAAACTCAATATAGCACTCCAAATGAATCAAATTATCTACTCTCCCTGCACTGATAGCCAGATTATGGTGCTGTCGGAGAAAAAAAAATATCACACTGCCATACAGGTGAGGTTGCCACAGAGCCACAGTCCCAATCCCAGGAGGCTCAGCACCAGATGGCAGCTCCACTCCACACCCTCACCATCCTCCCAGCCCCCGACCTCCCCTGCCTTTGCCCTCCCCAGGGGGAGGTCCCCACAGTGGATTTGCTCCTCCACAGAGAAATTCGAGGCTATTAGACATGCACTCCCTCAATGTCACACCCTTTTACCTAGAAAATGACTGTACTTACACTATCTTTGCCTCTTCCTCTCCAGTATCAAAAGAAGAGGTGCTGCCCTCCTTCCAAGGCTAACATTTCTAACCCGTTGTGTCCTCTGAGACTTAGCTCCACCGATCATCTCCTCTCAGATATATCTCTGATGCTTCCTCCTCCACTGATGTCTTCTCCTCAGCAAATGCACTCAAGTCTCTCCATCTGAAAGTGTCTCTGTCTCTCTCTCTCATGCTGCCACACACATACCCAAATTCCCCTTTCAACCCTATAACCCAAGGTCCACTGTGAGGTAATACCTTCCCTTACTTACTCTTCAGTCCTAGGCTCCTGGGAAGAGTCTCAACTTTCTCTCCCTCCATCACTCCTAAACCTCCTCTACCTATTTTCGGAAATGGCTCTTGCACTGTTATGGAATTAAGGCCACTCACTCTAAAGCATTGGGCAGTCATAACCTTTCTGACTTTCCTGGAACTCTTCTTTGAGTTTCTACAACACTATTGTTTCCCTTTCAATACCTCTGTCTGTGGCCACTCCTTCTCAATCTCCCCTACTTCCACTCTCCAAGTGTTGGTGGGCCTCGATCACACGTTTATTATTTTATTTTCATTTTCTCATTTTTACATCATGCCTGTGTTACCTCATCCATACCCACTGCTTCAGCTATGAGTAATATGATAAAAGCTCCCTAAGCTACAGCCAAGACCTCTCTTCCAGCTCAACCCATTTTATACCTGCTTGTCTGGCCAGGATTAAATAAGTGCAAAACCAAACTCATTCTCTTTCTAACCAAGCCTGTTCTGTACTTCTCATCTTGGTGAATAGTACTATGAGCCACCTAGCCACCCACCCTAGAACTCCGTGTTATCTTCCATGGGTCCCTCGTTCCTCTGTTCCATTACGCAATTGTGTATACAGGGCTGATGAGTCTGTCTCCTTAATAGTTCTCAAATCTGCTCTTCCCTCTCAAATTCCACTATTGTTGTCTTAAAGGTCCCCATCACTTCTTGTTGTCTGCCCTCTACCACGAACTAAGGTTTTTTCCAAAACACAAACAATCCTATTTCTCTCTTGCACTCATCACTCAGGAGAGAGGTTGGATTCCTCAGCACAGCACAGAGGACAGGTTTGTGAGATCTGGCAGGGGCCTGTCACCCACCTTCTGTCCCCTTACCAGACAGGCCCTGCCTCTGGTTCTCTCATCCTCCTGTGCCTTTCGCAGTGTGCTCCCTGGCATTGGGGGAGGACCCATCCTCCCTTGGCCACTGTCAAATCCCAACTCATGCTTTAAAGTTTGCTGCAGACTCCCCCGCTCCACGAAGTCCTGATGCCCCTGAGTGGTTAGCTGCACACTACTCTCCACACATCTGTACAGTCCAAGCCGTGGCCCGTGAGCCACATGCGGCCCAGGATGGCTTTGAATGCAGCCCGACACAAACCTTCTTAAAACATTATGATTTTTTTTTTCTTAGCTCATCAGAGATTGTTAGTGTTAGTGTATTTTATATGTGGCCCAAGACAATTTTTCTTCTTCCAGTGTGGTCTAGGGAAGCCAAAAGATTGGACACCCCTTGCCTAAAACCTGTCACAGTGCAGCTTTCTATCTCCTCCATTGCACCATGAGCTCCTTGCAGGGAGGAATTTTGTCTTTTTCATCTCTTTCTCACTAGAACCGGCAAGGTGTCCAGCCATAACAAGCACTCAGCAACTGTTTGTAGAAGGAAGTAAGGAAGAAATTGGCCTTTATTATAAAGTACTCCCACAACTGGGAAATAAAATTATTATCTGAACATTACTAACAAAAATACACATATAATGACTGAGATTTGCCTTTGGAAGAAGTCACCACAACCCTATGCAAATCTCTAAATCCTTCCCTTTTCTCTCAGTCCAACTCTTTCATAATTCTGCCCCCTCTCTCCATGGCCTAGAGGCTGCCACCCCATAGTTTACCACTCCAGGCAACCTCCCACTAACTCCTGAATATCCTGGCCTCCTATCTTTCTGCCATAGCTTCTCGGCAAACTAAGGCTAATCCAACTACCTGCCTTCCCTGCTCTCACAGCCAGGCTATGAGCATGCTGGAGGAAAATCACGCAAACCTGCAGATTTAGGGCTACATAGAATCACACTCGACTGCCCCAGATGATCCTTTGAAAGTATAGGGCAACATTTCATGTGTCCTTCATTGACCATCATTCCTATTCCCCAAACCTGTATCACGTATTTTCAAGCTCCCAGCCCCGCACCTGATGCTTCCCCACCCACCCCATTCCTTTCAGCAGAAAACCCTGCCTCCTACTTTCCTGCATAAGTTGAGGACATCATGTGAGAGTCTCTTTAATTTCCTAGACACCCACTCCCTAGCCTCACACGCCTTCTTTTAATGCAGTTTCAGGAAGAGGTGGCTTTTCCCCATCCAGTCTAACAGCACCTCTGCATCTGACTCTCTCCATCTCCATAGAAATGTGACTCACTGGCTGTCCTCTTTCTCCCGAACCTACTACCTACTGGCCCATTCCCCTCACACCTCTGACATCTTAAAACAAAACCAAACCAACAAATGAAACCTCCCTCCAGTCCTGTGTTACCTTCTAGCTTCCATTCCCTGCCCTTCCGTTTCCCATCACAGTCAAGTGTCTTTAAAAACACTTTTTTGAAGTATTTCAAACATTTCAGAAAAGTAGGGAATAATACGATGATCATCATTTCATGTTGTTTTGCCCTAATAAAACAAGACAACTGGAGCTAAAACTCCCTCAAGCCCCTCACCGGTCTCATTACCTTTGCTTCCTCCCTAGAGGCAACCACTGACCCAAAATTAGTCTTCCTGTCCATGATTATGCACTTCTACTACAGATGTTCCTATAAATATGTAGTACTGCTTTTCATGTCTGTACATTTACATAAGTGATATCATATTTCTCATATTCTGCCACTTGCTTTTTACTCAACGTCATATTTTCAAGATTTATCCTTGTTAATACATATAGCTCCAGTTCATTTTAATTTTTGGCAAGTGCTCCATTATGTGATGATATACTAACATTTGTTGTCTAGTTCCTTAGAAGAGCAGTTTCTACACTATGATCTTCCTATGTCTCCTCTCCCATCCCCACTTTTACCTTTCCAGCCTGCCTTCTGCTCTTCTCACACCACTCAAACTGCCCTTGTCAGGGTCCCCAGTGACCACATTGCTGCTAAACCCAGAGGACACTTTCAGCCTTTGTCTTCCTGGCCCTCTTTGCAACATTCTTCTCTAGATTTCCTTCTCCTGGGGCTCTCTTCCTTCCTTCCCCCTTCTCTGAGCTCTCAATCGCCATGACCTTCGTGACTGTCCTGCAAGACCAGTGGTTCTCAATGAGGTTGGGGAGATTTTGTCCCCAAGGGACAAAAAATCCTGACAATATCTGGAGACATTGTTGATAGCCCTGGAAAAGAGGCGCTACTGGCATTTAGTGGGCAGAGGCCAGGGATGCTGCTCAACATCCTACAATGCACAGGACAGTCTCATAGCATGATGAATCATCCAACCCCAACTGCCAGCAGTGCTGAGGTTGAGAACCCCTGGTCTAGATGTTGGTCTTCTACGAGGTTCTGATCTGAGCCCTCTTCCCTTCCTACTCTCCACTCTCTTTCTGGGTCACCTTGCCTACTCTTGGAGCCTGCAGAAATAGCTGGACAGGCTACGATTTCCTAGGATTCCCAGAGATTCCACTAAACATGCACTGAAGACATTTCCAGCCCAACAGCTTGCCTTGAGGGCTGGACTTACTCGGACGCTGGGCCGCTCTGGAGGGACCTCGGACACCATGTTGTGGTTGGGTATGTCACTGTTGGTGGTAGCCGGGCGTTTCCCACCTGTTTTATTGGACATGTCCAAGGCTGATCTGATTTCAAGTCAACCAGAAAAAAGAGATTGGTGAGAGCCAAGAAACAATGGAAACCACCCATCCCTTTTCCACACCCTGCCACCCACTGTTTCAGCATCAACACAAAATTAGATCTCTTGAGTGCCATTGAGCAGTCACCTCAGCCACTCCTTCAACCCTTCTGAAATTATATGCTGGTGACCTTGCACAATTATTTATTTTTTGAGACCGCGTCATGCTCTGTCACCCAGTCTGTAGCCAGTGGCAAAATCAGGACTCACCACAGCCTCGAACTCCTAGGCTCAAGTGATCTTCCCACCTCAGCCTCCAGAGGAGATGGGACCACAGGCATGGGCCACCATGCCCAGTTAATTTTTATTTATTTATTTATTTTAGAGAGACAGAATATCACTATGTTGCCCAGGATGGTCTTAAACTCCTGGACTCAAATGATCCTCCTACCTTAGCTTCCCAAAACGCTGGAATTACAGGCATGAGCCACCTGTTCCTGGCCCTGGACATTTATTTTAAAAGTCTAGACCCTGGGGCTCCAGAAATCCTTTTCCTCTACTTTAAAAGACACAACTGCCTAGTGGCCTATGAGAGTAGATTGATTAATCCTCTTTTCTCTTCTTCTCCTTTCATTCGGTGAGCCAGGATCCACAGTGAGAGGAATTAGCATTTGGCTCTCATGATCATATCAGATTTTCTCAGCTCTTCCCTCAAAGGCCCCTGGGTGCTATGCCAGCCTCACACCTGTCTTCTACTCCATCAGCTCAACCTGCGGGGTACGCCAACCTGGCTTCTGCTAGACCCTAGGAAAAGTGGATGAGGGTGTCAAGCCAGATGGGTCTCAGATGCTTCCAGTCCTCAGAACCGAGGTGACTGACTGCAAAGCCCTTCTGCTTTCCTTTCCCCTCCCCGTTGCCTTCTGCTTTCCAGCTGCAAGGAGGCGGTGGGATGGTAGTGGTTAAGGACAGCAAGGCCAAACAGCAAGTAGGGGACACACTTACATTTTCAAGTCAAATGTTTTGTTTTCGTCTGGGACCTGGCCAGTCACTGGGTGTAGAAATGTGTTCCGTCTTTCATTGTGGCTGTAGAGGGAAAAACAGAAGAGTCATGGTAAAGATGAAGAAGGCAGAGACAAAAACCAACATGTGGACAGACCCTGGGTGGTGACAGGGACAGGTGACCATGTAAGAAGCTTGTGCCTCTGTCCTCCAGGGGGATCCATGGGAGGCCTGGGCTGACATCCAGATGAGGGTGGGGGTAGGGGGTGGGGAAAGGAAGAAATGAAACCTGGTCACCTCTCACGAGTCAGTGCTAACTACTTACTAAAGTTCTCTGGGGCTGGAAACAAGCCACACTGAACTCTTTCAGTGCTTATCCTAAGTGTGGGGAAGAGGGGTTCCAACAGCCAGTTCAGCACATCAGGGCCTCATGCGTGGCAGGTTCTCTCCCAGGGACAGAGCCTGCCGGTGAGCCACATTTAAAAAAAAAAAAGCTCCCTCATTATTTGCTGAAAAAACTTTCTTGTGACCTTGGACTCCTTCTCCTTCTCCTGCTTTATGCTGTGTCTCTTTCTTAAAAGGAAATGGGGGCTTGAAAAACTCCATTCTTGAGCTTGGGCTTGGACCCACCCACACTCTAAGTCCAGGGTCTCCTGTCCAAGGGCTGCTTGATGTCATTGAGACCTCAGGGGCTGTCAGGTATGAAGGTCAGTGGTAGCTCAACAGTCCAATCTCATTAAGGGATGCTGTGGCCAGGAAAGGGGCAGGGTGTTGTGAGGACAGCCTGCCAGGAAGCAGAAGGGAGCAGGAACCAGGGGTTGGGGGGTCAGGGGGTAAGTGCAGAGGCAGATGGGGAGCAGCATCGTGGAGGCTCCTTGGGAAGACCTGCTGTGGCTCCTCCGGCTGGCTGAGTGTCAGGAGAGTTCCCAAGGAGGCTCTCAAGGGAGATGGGGAGGAAGGCAGCAGATAGAGCGCAGAGGGGCTGATGCAGCAGGTCTAAGCCACAATGGCAACCCCTGAGATGGATCCTGTAAGCTGCGACTACTTGACAAGAATGCAGCAGTGGAGATTCAAGCATCCAGCCAGTGGAGGGACTAGCTGAGTTAAGGGCCTCTTCACCCATCCCTCTTGGGAAATACTGTGAGCACCCAGCATAGGTGCCAAACTACCGGAAGGAGCAAGCACTAGGACAGAGGCCATGGAGACGGGGCCCCTCCAGCACATCCACAGCAAAGGGCCAGCTCTGCTTGACAAGTGGCAGGTCAGCCAGCAGCAGAGGAAGGAGATCTTAGCTTAGTCCCTTCAGTTGCATCAGAGAAGGAAAATAACCTTTTGGGGGCCCCCTTTCAATAGCCCAGGACACATCTCAACCCTTGGGCTGTCTGCTAAAGCTAAAGATAATATCAAAGACTGTTTTTTTCAGTTTCCAAAGCTGTCACGCTCAGATGTAATCCAAAGACATGCAGGAGATAAAAGCACAGCAGGCAGTGCCTATAGTCTGTGCGGAAATCTGGGCTTTGCAGCCCAGGTTTGCCAGTCAGGACCCAAAATCGGGCGCGTGTCCACCAGGCCTGGGTTCTGAGTCTAGCACGTTGATAAGCCACTCCCTACTTCCCAAACTTTATTCCCACCTCCCTCCCAGGTCCAACAAGGACATGCTCCTCAATTTAATCACAGGGGATCTTTGCAAGGAAGGGTCACTGTTTCCGGTGACCCTTGTCTGCCCCTGATTCTGTCTCATCTAGTGGTCTGGGGGGCAAGCAGTCTGCGGCAACTACAGTGTCCTTTGAGGTGTCAAGTTGTCTGCTTTTTCCCAGTGGCGCAGGGCACCCGCCCCCTGCCCTGACCCTCCAGTCTCCTTCTGCTCTGCGTGTTCCCGATGATAACTGCTGGAATCTTCCCTGCAGGCACTGGCATAGACACACACACACACACACACACACACACACAGAAGCGTACACACACAGTCTGCTGCCAACCATCACAAGACTTCTAGGGAATGGCACATCTCTCCTAGCCCCAGACTTTCCTACCCAGCAACCCCTACAAATGACGTCCTCATTCTATCCCGGCACTACCAATTTCAAAATAGCTTCCCCTTCACAAGCACTGCAATGCAGCAACCATTGACCTAACTATGCTTCCTTCTCCAGGTCATCTCAAGCAGACCCCTTACTCTGAAGCCCCCGGATCCAAGCAGGATGAGCTGCCAACTCAGCTTGCTCTGACTTAACTTGGCTCATGATCCGTGGAAGAAATCCCTACCTGACCCGTCGATCAGCCCGAAACTTCAACATCTTTTTGGCAGGTCCGTCCCCAGGTTGGCAGCCTCAGAGGACCCACCGGCCACCCTGCTCCTACCATGCCTCTGAGAAGTAAGTCCTCTGGTCCAACTGGTAAGGCTGTGGCAGAGATGCAGAGCGATCGGTGGCAGAGACTCTGGCAGTTCCCCCTCCTCCTGGCTCTGGCTCTGGAGAAGGAGGGCACTCTCCTTGGGTGGTGGTAGGGGTCGCCTAGGTGCCCTAGTAGGCCTGTGGCTTCCTTGTATTCGGCCAGAATGCTACTGGTCAGAGGACTGGAGGCAGAATAAACAAGGAGGGGATGATATCCTCCCCATTCAGCTCCCCAAGGAGAAAATGTTGAAATAGAGAGACAGACATACACGGAGCAGGTGTAGCACTCCCAGGTAGTCCGACCTCAGTGAGCTAAGGACGCAGAGTGGCTGGGCGGGTGAAGGAGTCTGGGGCTGCGTTCCCATCTGCACGGCTGAAACTCATGCCAGCCCGACCTGTAGGGAGACAGTCCTCCTGCCTCCCCAGTTCCCAACCCACAACACAGGCTCCTAAAGCTGAAAATCAACTTGCTTCTCAGAGATCCTTCAGATCCCGTGGGCATAAGGGTTAAATGAAGCTCCAGATTCATCTGCTGTTATTGCTGCCGCTGCTGAGAAGCTGAGATTGATTGAGCAGGTCTCCTTTCCCTTCTGTCAGCCTGCCCAGCCTTCTTCTGTGTGGACAGGAGCATAATGAATGAAGCTCCTCTGCCCCCGTCCCTCCGACTTGCTCCCCTCGGACAGCACAGGGTTGCTTTCCCTCCCTGTGTGGCGGTCCTACAGATGAGAAGCAAGTCGACCAGATGGGCGTGGACGTTGTGGAGCCAGAGCTGGTGGCTGGGATGGGACTGCTCAGGCAATGTTAAAGGAGAGCTTCCTCCCAAGGCTTGCGAGGAATAGGGCGGGAAATGGGGCTTGAGAGGGGGTCATTGTGTGTTTATAGCTGAAAATCTTCCCAGACACGAGATGATACATTCCAGCTGGTGACTGTCAGATCTGCTCAGAAGCAAGGAGGTTTGTATCGATGCTAATTCCCCTGAATTCTTCAGCGGCTAAAGATGGTCAGCGCTCCCCCTTTCCTAATGTCCTTCATGTCTTAGGATCCTTGGACTGTGAGGGCCTTCCGAAGGACATCGCTGCCATCCCCCTGCTTCTAGGCAAGTCTGTTCTCCAATCAATCCTCATTAAGTTCCTTGGTTTTCTGTAAAGAGTTCTAGCAAAGGAGGCTCCAGACCCACTGTTATCTTATCCTGCCAAGATGTTCTTTTTGATATCACGTTTCAGTTCCTCTGGCTTTCTATATTATTCCATTTCGTCTTCACATGACAGATTCCTTTTTTGACCAACGTGGTTCTTTTTAGCAGCACCAGGCAGCCTGCTGACATCACAGTCTGTTGCTATGGCAATTCTGTGATGTCACAACAGACACTGAAAGGAAGGGGCTAATCTAATTTTTTGGATTGAGCAAGAACTTTATCGGGGAATAATGTCATCAGTGAATGGAAAAGCAAATGGACAACATTATTATTTAACCCATAATGAGACATGTTGGTACGATATAACTGGGGTCAACCGCTGCTGATATTTAAATAGCTTAATCTTAAATCCAGAAGGTCAATACATTCAGCTATTTCATGGGACTTTTGCAAATGATTTATCCTGGTGAGAGGAGGCCTCGGTTTTCAGATCGCTTCCTTTCCCTGTCCCTAATCCAGTTTCTTGGGCCCTCTCCTGATGCCCGGTTGAGGTTCCTGCCCATACAAAACAGGTGCTCGATAAATATTTGTTGAATGAATGAATAATAGAAACTCTCCAGCCCTGACTTAATTTTTAACCACCTGCATTTGGAGTTTGACATTCTATCACCAAGGGCTTCCCTGTCTTAGCTCTCTCTTAAAATTAATTACTTCCTCTCCATGAGAGAAGCTCTGCTTCTGCCCCCTCGCCCCCTCACTCAGCTTCCCTGCCTAGCTCCCCCTTGAATACATAGCTTGGCTTTGATCCACCTTCAGTAGGAGGGGAAGAAAATTAAGCTCATCTGCACAGAAGGAGGAGGGGGTAGGGGTGCTTTGGGAAAATGAGCTTTCTTCCTCTAGAAGGCAAAAATATCCCCTTTCTCTTCAAGCTGAGCTCAGGGGCCTCCCACAGCCTTTGCTTAAGCTGCAAGTTAAATTACTTCTCCTATGCCCTGTAAAGATAGCACGAGGGAGTAGGAACGAAGGCAGGCTTGGGGCTTCCCCTGCTCATCGAGAGCTCCGAAATCCTCTGAATTAAGTCTGCACACAGAATGTCTAGCAGGGGTTCTTTCCCTTTGCCAACAAACTGCACGGTATGGCAGATTTTCATTTTAGTTAGACGTCAAGAAGAACTTACAAGAGGCAGAACATTAAAAAGGGAAACAACGATAGGTAATCCGTTTTCTCCTTCCTCTCTCCTTCCTTTTGGGATGTCGAAAGGCTTCCATTTGTCAAGGACAAATGATTATGAATCTATGAATACATATCCAAATGGACCTCTCAAATTCTGCCCAAGAGAAGGGAAAATCTCAGGTGGTAAAAGAGATTGTGTGGTGGAGGTAGAAACAGTCCTAAACTCCAGAGCAGTCCAGTTGGTGGTCACTTATCCACCATGAGGGTGGCCCTGATGGCAGTGCCGTCAGTGGGAACAAATATGGCAGGACCAAACATTCAGTCCAAGATCCAACCTGAGTTAGCAATGTGACTTTATTTCTTGGGCCCTTAGTTTTCTCATGTGTAAATGAGGTACCTTCTAACTATATGAAATAATAGTGCTTGCTTCACCAGCACACATGCTAACTCTATGAAATAATAGCTGTAAACTTTCAAAATGTGGACCATTTGATGCAGAAGAGATAATGGCTGTGAAAAACAAATCAAGAAATACGCCAGATGCAGGAGTGAAAAAATGAAAAACACATAGTCCCAGGCTTAAGAACATTGTGTATGCGGCATGGGCTGGGAGTGCCAGGGGCAGGCACTCTGGAAGTCCCAAGACCAATAAATTACAAAGAAAAAAGCAGATCCTCTCCATTTTCCAGGCCTTTGTCTCTAGGTGCACTACTTAAAGCTTTCCTGTAGTTCAAGAGACATCCTCAGCCCCTACAGCACCTCACATAGAGATAACACTGCATTGCTTCATCTCCAAACATCCCCCTGGAGAGTCAGCATCCACATGCAGTATACCTGGCACTACGCTGTCAAGAGTGGCAAAAATTAATCCAAGTTTCATGATCTTTTGCAGGCATGCATGTTCACACATGTGCACACGTGCACACACACACCCAGGCTGGACGCCTGGAACCCCACTGTGATCAATATTGAACGACTGGAGAGATACTCCACTCCTTCCACCCACTGGGCCTCTCTTGATTATCTGCTGTACACCAAGCTGCTTCATTTCCATAGCTCCTGAGAATCTGCTGACAAAGAATTAGCCCTGGCCTGGCTTCCCCATCCTGAGGATGCCTTGGCTTCCAGCATTACAGCTCATTAGGTTGAGAGAGGTTTGCGCGCAAGGCAAGTGGAAAGGGGGTCCCATCCCTCCCACTTCCTTCTTTCTCCTAGCTAGCAAATTCCAAGCCGAGACTGTCCACACTCCAGGGAGGATTTCTGCTGCCACAGAGGAGGGGAAGGTGGGGAGAGGGTTGGTTCCTGCTCTGTGCCTCCCCATCTGGATCTCATCATTATTTTCAAGGAGGCTTATCTGCTCCAGCATCCTGTCCCAATTAAAAACCAACTCAGTTTATATTTCCAGCCATTTACATGCACCTGATTCCTGAAGCTCCCCCTGCCATTTCCAGGAGAAAATACACTTTCCTAGCCGCTTCTCATTTGAAGCTCTCTGTTTTCCTACATATTGCTGCCACATAAAGAAGAGGTCAAAGAGGGTCAGGCCCTGGCAGCCCCTCTAGGTATTTGCAGGTAGGAAGGAGCTCCTCCAAACAACACTGCCTTAGCCAGGCATGGTGGCACATATCTGTAGTCCCAGCTACTCAGAGGCAGAGGCAGAAGGATCACTTGAGCCCAGGAGGTCGAGACTGCAGTGAACTATGATCGCACCACTGCACCCCAGCCTGAGGTGCAAGACTCCCATCTCTAAAAAACAACAGAGCAAGACCCCCATCTCTAAAAATAACAGAGTAAGACCCCCGTCTCTAAAAACAACAGAGCAAGACCCTGTCTCTAAAAAACAGAGTAAGATCCCCATCTCTAAAAAAAAAAAAGAGTAAGACCCCCATCTCTAAAAAACAACAGAGCAAGACCCCCGTCTCTAAAAACAACAATACCCCCTGTCTCTCCTCCATGTGCTCCTTGAAGATCAAAATACCAGTTCTCTGGGTTCTGGGGACCAGCTGCCAGTGGCTATCACCCAGCCTTGTACTTGCTTTTGCCTTTCTTCTTTGCCCTTGCTCATCCCCCACTTTGATGCCACAGTTATTTCCAAAGTGTCAAGAAGATGGTATGTCTCTGCCCCAAGCCAGTTTATTGGAATGTCCTAAGCTACTCAGCTGCATGTCTAGGAGACAAGACCCATGCTGCTCCCTTTCCTGCTTAATTCCGCCCATCCTCACCGCACCCCCAGCCCCATCCCAAACCTGTTATGGGCGGTTATGGAAGGCTGGGCATGTTCTATGTGAGCCCAGCTCCCACCACAGACAGAAGATAGAAGAGATGGCTCCATGGACAAGGGAGAGAAATCACAAATCAGGGGGCTAGGTCCAGGTTTCTTCCCTTCCAGCCCAGGTGCTCTCCTTCCCCCATTCTCTCACTGCAGTGTCTCCCAGCCCCTGCTCTGGGCCTGGGTGGTCCCTTATTCCTATGAGAGGAGATAGGAAGGCCTAAGATGGCAGGCTGAGGGCAGGAGGGCAAGGTGTACTTCAGTCAGGGTAATGGGTTCAAGCTCGTGTGTGTGCATGCACGTGTGTGTGCATGAGAGAAAACATGGAGATTATACAGGGGAACTTCATTCTGACCTCCCACTCTAGCTTGATTCATCTTTAAACTTGTTGTTTCACTTTATGGAATTCCATTTGTCTTCTGAAAAATGAAGACAGCCAAAGTAGACAGCATAACCATGCCAGTGATTCAAATACTGAAGCTCTTCCATGTTGGTGGGTGAAAAGCTGCTCCCCCAAGTCCCTTGAGTGTCCCTGCCCCACCTCTGGGCCAGGGCCTGAGACCTCCTCACATCTCCACGACCCAGAGACAAAAGAGTTAATGCCTGGCACCACAGGGCCCTCCAAGACTCCAGTCCAACGTCCTTTCTGGTTGATGAATTATTGAATATCATTCCCGGGTACAGCCAGACCTTAACTGTCTCAACACTGAAGTGTCTTCCAATTGCGGAGAACTGCGATTCTACCACCAGAAGCTGCCATGGGCAGACTGGGAGACACTTTCTCCTTCACCCTGACGCAACTTGGAGAACTGGGGCAATCCAGCTCCCTGGAGCTCCTCCTTGTGCTGTGTGCTCTTGTTTTGTTCCCTTCTAAAGAGAGGGGAAATTCAAAGGAGAAGCAGCTGCCTACAGCTCTGGGTTTTCCTCCTCTCAGCCTTTCCTCAGTAGCTAAGCCAGACAGAAGCAGAGAAAAAAGGCCCCAGCCCCCTCGCCTCCAAGTTGCCTTCTCCTGACAGCCAGCAATGTGGAACGGATCCCAAGGGGTAACAGGGCAGGGCAATAATTAATTATGCCCCACCCCCCTTCCAGCTCTGAGTTGAATCTCAAACCCCTGCCCTTCAGAGGCTGAGGCAGCCCAGCTGTCCACCACCGGGTCTACAGAAGGTCACTGAAACCATGTCTCTGCATCCCTAACTCAGCAGATCTGCTTCTGGTGTCCTACGGAGAGCAGCAATCCCACCCTGCCCCACCCCACAAAAGGAATTTTACAAAGTGGATGTTTGGAGAGTTATGAAGCTGGCTGATTTCTCTCCTTCCCCATCATCAAAAGCTACCAGTGCCTTCTTGGTTCCCAATCCAGCAATTTGAGAATCAAGCTGTCTGGTATCTTAGTTTTCTCATTTTAACAGGGAAACAAAGGTATTGAGTGATGCCTTCTTCAGTAGACAACACAAATCTCCCACTGGACCAGACAGCAGAGGAAGAAAGGTTATGATGCTCTGAAGGCACATGGAACAAAGAGAAAAATAAAACTCATGCAGTCTCTGGTCCTTACACTGGGAGGGAGGCAAGGAAGGCCCATTTCAGAATCAGGGAAGCGGAGGTGCACTGTCCCAGCTATAGTGACAGGAGAGGTCAAAGTTTGAGTTTTCTTGGGCTTCCCTCTTTCTGTCCCTGTGATGCACCCAATCTGAGCTCCTCATCTCTAGGAAAGCAGGAGAGAGCTTCATGGTTCAGGGGGAGATGCCGGCTTTTCAAGGTCTGCTCCAAGAACACAGTAATGAGGCCACAAACCTTTTCACTGATAACATCTGTGGGCTACAGGTCTGGGGGACTGTGTGTGATGTGGGCTGGGGGCTACCCATAAACATTAGTCTGACAACAGCTGCCTGGATGTGGGGCTTGGAAGGGCAGCCACACACACACTGTCCACAGCCTGGCCTTTATTGCTGTGCCTCTGCCCAGCACCTCACACACAGGGGAACTGAATAACTGAGTTTGATGCAGCAGCTGTAGGGCAGGCCAGCAGGCTCACCACTGCCTGGAGGAGGGGGCATGTGCTGTTCCGGTTGGGATGCTGAATAGCGGCTGAAGGAGACAGGAGCTCAGCCTCAAATCCCTCTCACGGGGATCAGTATGCACGGTGCATTTGCTTCATGCCCCCTCCTGTCCCTCCTCTCCCTGCTGGCCAGCCAGACTCTGATAAGAGTCTACAAAGCAGAAGCTTTGCCTTGGGAAGAGGAAAGCAGTAAACCAGCTAGAGTTGGAGAGCAGGAGCCTCCCAGCTGGAGGGTAGCATGACAAGGGTTGAGGGCCAACAGCAGGCTCTAAGTTAGTGCTGCTCCTCGCCTGCCCAAGGAGACCCATTGTGCCTTTGGCCCACAAGGAGGGCTCAGCTGATCTTCTGTCTCAGACTGGGAGTAATAGGGTAAGCTAGAGGCAGGTGGATTGTGGGAAATGTTGAACACCTCCTTTTGCCAGGAGCAAGGAGTCTGGAACTTCCCCTGTACTTGGGGAGCTTGCCAAGGGCTCTGAGGGCAGAGCGATATCCCTGCACTGCTGCCTGCTGGTGGAGGATCCAAAGGGAGCCTAGGAACAAGGGCCACCATGGAACCAACCGGAAAACTACTGTGCCTAGGAGAGCACTTGCTGCAGACTGAGACAATCCTTTGTGAGCTCCCCTGACATCCCGGAGAGGAAGAGGGAGATCTGGAAAGGGATTTGGAGAGTTGTGAAAAAAGCTGGCACGTGATGGCAAGGAATGGACAGCATGTGGATTGTCCTTAAGGAAAAGGATAAGGCCGGTGGTCTCAGAGTCAGGAGTCTTGGTAACTGACCAGTACCGAGTCACTGTCCCTTTCTGGGTCTCAGTTTCCCCACCTGCAACATGTAACGATACTGGGGTTGTTGGGAAGACTAAATAAGATCGCATATTTAAAACCTCTAGAAGAACGGCTGGCACATCCAGTTGTTTAGTAGTGGCTAATGTTATAATCATTAATAAAATAAGGGAATAAAATAAATAGCACTATCCTAAATTTGCGCCAAGTTGATAGCCACTAGTCGTATGTGGCAGTTCAAATTTTGAATAATTAAAATTAAATAAAATTAAAATTTCAGTTCCTCAGTTACACTAGCCACATTTCACTGTGTCTAAAGAGCCACAATAGCTAGTGGTTACCATATGGGACAGAATAGTCATAGGACATTCCATCATTGTAGAACATTCTATAGGACAGCACCAGGCTAGATGTTCTCTAAGCCACCTTCCAGTTCTGAATTCTATGAAATGCAATTCTAAGCCGATGTATCCTTCCACCAGCTGATGTGAGCTCAGTGTCTTCAGTAAATACAAGTTCCCTCATAGTCCTAAGCTAAGCTAAAAAGAAAGGAAAATCTGCTGTCAACAACAAAAAGTTAAAAATAAAAAATGATATATTCCAAAGTTCACTCCAAATTAATCTGGACAATCCATTGTTTTCGTTTTTTGTGCTTTTTGTTGTTTTTGTTATTGTTTTGGTTTTTTGTTTGTTTGTTTTTGTTTTTGTTTTTGTTTTTTTGAGACAGGTTCTTGTTCTGTATCCCAGGCCGGAGTTCAGTGGTGCCATCTTGGCTCACTGCAGCCTCTGCTCCCTGAACTCAAGCGATTCTCCCACCTCAGCCTCCCCAGTAGCTGGCTAAATTAGCTTGGCTAATTTGTTGTATTTTTAGCAGACACACGGTCTCACCATGTTGGCCAGGCTCATTATTTTTAAATCACAAGCACTACGACTCTTCTGCATAGTTTGAAAGTATCATTACTAACAGCGCTGGCCTGGTGGGAAACACTGGAAAAAGTCATCCAGCAGCTTAAGAAGAACAGGAGAGAAGAGTTGGAGAAGGAAGAAGAGTTGGGGAGGAGGCTAGAGACACAGAGGACCTGTTCCTCCCTCCTGCTTTCCCTTTCCTTCCTGGATTGGCCAACCTCCAGTTGACGCTTGTGGGAGGAGGAGGAAAGGGAAGTCTTCTGTGGGGCCATTTGGTCCAGAGCAGGAGGAGCTGGCATGGAGGAGGACAGGGTAGAGGAAGTACCACCAAGGACAGCAGGCTTAGGATTCTTCATTCCCTGCACCTGCTCTTCCCCACCCTGCACTCATCCAGACCTGGATCCTATGGAAATCACAGGAAAACAACCTGTTCCTAAGCAAACATCGCAAGAAGCAGGTGCCAGAGAGCATCCACTGATAACCAGGGATTACAGAGGGGAGGGAAGATAATCTCAGAGGAAAGGAAGAGGTGCTCCTAGGCCTAGACCTAGCCTAGAGACCATGCTGGCTACGGCCCGGATAAGGAAAAGAGAGGGCCTGAGAAGGAAGGCAGGGCAGTCAGACAAGGGACACTGCTGTTCCTGCCCTGTCCTGCCA